TTCATTCATTCATTCTTTCATTCATTCTCTGTTGCACAAATATCTGTCATTGTTTTTAGTCGTCGATTCATATACACTTTCATCGCAATTCAACTTTCACGCCCAGTGGAATTTGTTTTGGTGGGATAATTCAGATTGTTATTTTTCACCCTGGATGTTATATGCTTCAGTTCCCCAGTAGCTCTAAGTTTTGTTTCTTTGTAGGAGCGACATTTACATCGAGGCTGACATAGGCATAGATCAGGGGTTGAATGTGGCAGCAAAAGAAGCATTCCTTGCAACCAGGTTCAGTGTAGGGGGTGCAATTTGCCAAACACTCTTGGTGTCTTCTTCTTTATCAACCCTGCAGCAGGGACATATCAAGTGACTACAAACCTTGGTAGGTTACCCCCTGGAAGTGGTAGGGCTGAAACATTTTAATACAATCTGACTCTCCTAGCAACAAAACACACAGGACAAGATAGTTTGAGATAATTACTGTTCGAGGGTATACACCTATGACTGTTTAATTGGGTTCATACAAATGCAATGTCTAAGTTCTTGGATGTTGGCGATGTGTGTTTTGTTCAAAAGTGGTCCATACCTTCTGATTTTAGTTGAAGAGAATACATTTTCAAACGAGGAGAGGTTGTGATATTTACCTTTGGGAATATTGACAGGGTAAATCTAAGGGTGAGTAGTATGATTGTATATACTGTATAGTATGTACAGTTAGCTCTATATAAATGCAAGTGGAGGTATTCGGCCACCTATAACAACCCAATGCCCATGATGTCAACTATTTGGTTGTCTGGCCCAGACTCATTAATTACATACCGCCGTCATGTAGCTGGAATATTGCCGAGTGCGGCGTGAAGCAACAAACAAATAAACAAACAGACAGCGAATGTTGGTTTTGTATATTTTTCGTCCAAGCATGATTCCTACCATATAATCAATTTATTGGTTGACGAAAATACATTTTCCGTTTCAGAGAGAAATGAGACACTCATAAATGGTAGAACTAATACATTCAGTGGCACAAAATGGAACAATGTTGGCTTACTTGTAAAGGTGAGGGAGAGAACCAGTATACGTTCCAGTATGGCCCATGTATCATGTGCGAGATAAGCACCATGTTGGAAAGCGCACGTAAAATCTCCAAATCGTCATCGTCAATATTTCATCAATTCGTAAAGTTGACGCATAGGTGTTGTTACCTTGCTACATATAGGTTGATATATTTCTGTGTGATATATTTTCGGACCAAACTAGAATTTAAGAAAAAAATTATAATGAACGTCTTGTCTTGTTGAAAATATACATATTTTTTCACAAGTTACTGTGTTCAACATGATATTCAACGAAACTGAACACACTATTACCTTGTTACTGAAACTGCAATGTCAGCGTTTTATAGTCAGATATATTTCCAGGGTTCCATGGCGATTGGAACAATCAATGGTCAACAGGTGTTCAACGTCTCCTCCGTACCTGACACTGTGGAAATTGGCTTCGCTGGTCTCGGGACTGGGTCGTACGGATATGCTGACTACGACAACTTGAAAGTTTTACCTCCCAAAGAGGGACTGAACTTACTGAAACGGCTGAATTATAAGAAATCTGAAATCAACTGACACCGCCGTTCACAGTGTGTTATTTTTGAAAGCAATATAACATGTTATAATATACCATTACTAACCTATATTATGTGATTGTTTCCTATGTTAGTCAGTTGTTACTCATAGCAACATTTGACGTGTTTTGTGTTATTTATCACACTTGAATAAATCACTGAAAACACAGCGTGCAATAGCCACTATAGCCAATCTGGTTTGTTTTAAATGTTACCTTGAATGAATGAATGAATAAATGAAATATGTGGAAATCGATATTGAAACTCACTCACTGGTTTCCAAATTCCAGTTTTGTTCTTCGAGGTGCAAATATAAAGCTTCTATAGCACACAGCAAATGCCAACTCAGTTGTACATGTATGTTCGACTCACCAGTTTCTGACAACCCTAAATCCTCTGAATGGATGAATGAATGAATGAATGAATGGATGGATGGATGGATGGATGGATGGATGAATTAATGGATATTGAACAAAGGAAGGCACACGTAGCCAATCTGGTTTGTATTTAATGCTTGCTTAATAGATTGAATGAATAAATGAATGAATGAATGAATATTTAACAAAGGAAGGCACATATAGCCAGTCTGTTTGTTTTTAATGCTTCCTTAATAGAATAAATGTATGAATGAATGAATGAAAGAATATTTCGCAAAGGAAAGCACATTTAAATGTCATGTCATAAAATAAATGAAATGAATATTGTTTTCACTTTTGATGTCACGACATTGAATACTTGCATTGTTTCTAGCAAACATGTGGGAATATCGTGAAAGACAATCCAGCGCTATGAAACGTGGACACAACTTGAATACAGTCTTAATGGAAGGTCGACGCATCAGTGCATGTGATCAGTCATTATGCATGGGTACATTGTTAACGAAAACCAATGAGTTCGATGAGAGGTGGCGTAGTTACTCCATCAGCTAAATCACAGAGGCCGAATTTCTGATATCTTATGGGGACTATGGGGTAGCCTAGTGGTTATAGGTCGTCACGCCGAAGACCCGGGTTCAATTCCCCACATGGGTACATTGTATGAAGCCCATTTCTGGTGTCCCCCACCGTTATATTGCTGGAATATTGTCACTCACTCACTCACTCTGGTCTCTTATGTGACACGTAATCTCAATCGGAAAATATAGGAAAAGGATAAACAAGACAAGTGTATAAAGAAGTTATGCCACACCTTCAACTGCATATGACTGCTGATGTTCGTATTTAAAGCTCTCCGTCATCAAGCTCCATGTTACCTGCAAGAACCTATCACAAGGTATCAGCCGGGAGGATGCTTCGATCCGCTTCCTGTCAGCAGCTAACTGTGTCCCAAACTCTAGCATCATCCAATGGCGACAGGTGTTCTGCTGGGGCAGGTCCAGACCACTTACAGCAAATCACTGATTTTCAGATTCCTAAGCATGAGTGAGTGAGTTGGGTTATATACCGCTTTTAGCAATATTCAAGCAAAATCACGGAGGGGGATACCAGAAATGGGCTTCACACATTGTATCCGTGTGGGGAATCTAAAGCGGACGCTTTAAAATCACTGGGTTAACCACCGCCCACCCAACATGAAGGCAAGACTGCTGTTCCAAAGAGCCTATAACCTGCACATCTCACCACAATTAACGTCCACCATGTATTTAAGGAAACAGATAACCTGTATATGTACGAGTATGTACTTCTTAGCATGAACACTGGTAACATAAGAGCAAAGAGTCTGACTTGATCATGATTTCTCACTTTAGACTTCACTCTGCGGGCACACATTGCATGTAGAACAACGTGAACCCTTTCAATTCTTATTTCGGGAATGTTCCTAAATGATATTACATACAAACTATATAAAAAGAAAGAAACATCACGTGTACTTTGTGTCCAAAACATACCCAAAAGGAACAAAGTGTTTTGCTAGTGTATATATTCAGTTTATGAACGTAATAACGTACACTACAACGGGACTAGGCATTAAGGTGCGTTTGGTGCATCCTCCACAGTCAACAGTAGCACGATGGGGGTCACTTTTATTTTACAGGGACTTGCCATCTGTATTATAGCTTGTTCAGTACGAAGTATGCCCCCGTGCATAGCGGTCGTAAAATGATTACGCTAACGAAGCCGAATGTGATTGTCCTTGACATGTGACGTCAAACGTGGCCGTCGTAACCTGGGGTGATCAGATGTGGTGCCCGTTTGATGCACACGTGTCCTCAGGTTGTGTATTGTCCGTCTATTGCATCTCATGGCACGTGCAACATCAACAGTAGACTGGCCAATCTGGAGCATGTTACTTGAACGTTCACGTTCAACATTTGTAAGGCTTGGCATGAGAATTATTTATCTCTCAAGGCTTGATGACATGTTGTTTGTAATCATCAACAATTTCTGGACACGTGGTTGTGGTTAGGCACATGACATTGTGGTGACGTGACCCCGCACACGTCCAAGGTCGCGTTTTCCCAGGGTTAAACCTGGCAATTATGGTATTCGTCCATATTATCTACCTTGTACTATCCATATTCAAGATAATTCATTTCCCCGAGAATGAAATTTCTGTTTTGCTTCAGTATAATATAAGCGCCTACGAGTGTTTTAGTTCCTAAATGATACAGGGCGCTATACAAATTGTGTGTACTATTATCTATTATATGTTACCTCGGCTTTGTGCACGAATATACTTCATTCAGAGGGTGTGGGATCGGGATGCAATCCAGCATCATTTGGGAGGACATCATATTATACACTGCTTGTTGAATTCGTGTAGACCCTAGCGACTATTGGAGTGGCGTTGGTGAGCGAAAGGATAATGAGCAAAAGGCAGAAGTCCTGCCACTAAGGCGTCATAATTGTGCACTCACAGTTGGTCAATCATATGCTTCAAATCAATCATAGCTCAATCATTGGTCTTACAGAGTGAGTGATATTTGTTTCTCTTCTACAGTGAGGGGCGGTGGGGTAGCCTAGTGGTTAAAGCGTTGGCTCGTCACGCCGAAGACCCGGGTTCGATTCCTAATATGGGTACAATGTGTGAAGCTTATTTCTTGCGTCCCCCGCCGTGACATTGCTGGAATATTGCTAAAAGCGGCGTAAAACTACACTCACTCACTCACTCTTCTATAGTGACCTTGGACGTCATGATTTGCATAGTAATGAGAGCGGTGATGTCAAATTAGGTACATGGGGTAAAATACTTTTCCTGGGCTGAAGTCCAGGTCATGCTGAATGACGACCTTGTTATGCTGCCGTATGAGCACCATGTAAACAGCCATTGCGTGTGAATTCAATTTAACCTAAAGGTAACCTAGTTCTACATTAAAACCAGGCACTCGGTAACGTTATCTCCCAATGGTATTTCTGTTGTGACGTTTGGCCTTGAAGACTGTGTGTCAGTGTAGCGTCGACCCATCACTCATGCAGAGCGTGTAGGCGAGGTCATGAGGTGACAGCGACCTGAGGGTTTGTGGATGATGCAGATATCATGCATACTAACGGTAAATATAACCCTCGTGTGATATAGTTTTCACACAATGTCAATTCTAAGACTAAACAACTCGGACATGGTTTAGTTAAATATGTGTCTAGCAGGGCATGTCCCCACAGATGACATTCTTAATTGTCAGCTTGCTGACAGGGTTAACCTCTTTGGTCATATGCTCACTGACTTTGGATCAGAAAGTCCGTGGTTCGAATCCCCTCACGTTACTCGGAAATTTAATGACCGCTTCATGTGTATATGTTACAGTAAATGTGTCAAATCAGGAAATGTGTAAATTTCCTGGAATATTTAGGAAATGTGTACATTTCCTGATTCACTCAGTAAATGTACACATTTCCTAAATATTCCAGGATATTTACACATTTCCTGATTTGAGGGCCTGATATTTTGACACATTTCCTGATATGATTTTTTTGCTATCTCAAATAATACAGCTTCGATTTAAAGGACAAACAAAATCATCAATTTACACGAACTCATTTATTGTGGCAATGCAAGCTTGAATGACAACGACTATTACACGTAAGTCCTGCTTTGTAACATTTACATTTGTTGGTTTAGCACTGCTTAGCACTTTGCACACAATTGCACTTAGTGTATCCTTGAACACCACATATTGATTCTTGTGCACAGCTTGACGCAGTCCAATTTCATTGTCAGTTTGTACGTCAACCATGGACAAAATGTTCTGAGCGCACAAGTCAAATTGACTTTTGCAGTAGCGTTCCTTCAGGATACCAGATCTCACAGCAACTCGATACAAGGTATTCTCATTTCTATCCAATATCACACCCATGATATTTTGGGGGTCCCCTTTGCCACGATCTACAATGGGGATTGGTATTGTCACATTATCACCTGAATTTCCGTTTTGATGTCAAACGATTAAGCTCATCTGTTTGTTCTGTGACTGGCTTCAAATAATTAGCACATCTCCCACCAACATGATTAAACACTTTGTTATTATAACCTAATTATTACCCCCTTAACATTGTCATTGCTTCGTTTTGACTTGTATGTTCTGTGACTGGCTTTAATAAAATAGCATATATTGGCCCATTCTCCTGTTTTCATTGCAAATTAAGCAAAAACTTCATATCAGGAAATGTGTAAAAAAATCAGGCCCTCAAATCAGGAAATGTGTAAATTTCCTAGAATATTTAGGAAATGTGTACATTTACTGAGTGAATCAGGAAATGTACACATTTCCTAAATATTCCAGGAAATTTACACATTTCCTGATTTGACACATATACTGTAACATATATTCACTACCGTCATATTATATTTCCATACGTGAATGTGTCGTGTTGCCATAATTTAAAAGTCTCTAAGTTAAAGAAGAATGAACATGAAACCCACAAAATGCCTGGGTTCGAATTCCCACATGGGTCCCATGTTTGAAGCCCCATTTCTGGTGTCCCTGCCATGATATTGCTAGAATATTGCTAAAAGCGTCGTAAAGCCCACTCACTCACACACTTTTATCCGCGTCCAATCGAATTGGATAGTAAATAGGGGCGTCTCAATAGCAACCTACGTTTATCAATAGAAGCTGACCACGTCTTGTGATCTTCTTAGATACACTGATAATGAAGGTGGATAAATACAGGGACAGATATTTACAGGTATCTCCACACAAGGTGTGACCTCTGAGGCCATCAGTTCATGTTCAACAATGCTGCTGAACATATTTATCATCCTTGTGAGTATTTCACCTGTCCTGTCTGAGAGGGACCTGTACCATCTGGACAACTCAAATGGTCTTGGGAGGATATTTGATGGTATTGGAGGAATCAGCGGCGGGGGAGTAAGTATACGTGTTATATATGGAAGAAATGTTATGGTATTAACGGAAAAAGTATTATATCAAAGATTACATAATATCTCCTATTCAATAATCGACCAAGCAGGGCTAAAATGGCAGATTCTATGCTTGTTTTAGCTCTCAATCTGTTTTATTTATAACGCACTTTTTATCAAATATATTCAATAAATCGTTAAGAGTGACTATGAATCTATATTGTTCATCTATACCGCACCATAGATTATGTGTATGTATGTATGTATGTATGTATGTATGTATGTATGTATGTATGTATGTATGTATGTATGTATGTATGTATGTATGTATGTATGTATGTATGTATGTATGTATGTATGCATGTCTGTCTGTGGTGTGCTTGCGTGCGTTCAGATATCCGTATATGTGTGTGTATGTATGCATGTATGTATGTTTGTATGTCTGTGCGTGTGTGTGTGTGTATGTATCTATGCATGGATGTCTTTACGTATGTATGTCTGTGGTGTGCTTGCGTGCGTCCAGATATCCGTATATGTGCGTGTGTGTGTATGTACGTCTGTGTGTGTGTGTGTGTGTGTGTGTATGTATATATCTATGCATGCATGTCTTTATGTATGTATGTATGTCTGTCTGTATGTATCCATGCATGCATGTCTGTCTTTGCTTGCGTGCGTCCAGATATCCGTTCTTGTCCTAACTCCTTTATCTACACAAGATCTTTTCCCGCTTAACGGCTCTTGGGTGTAATGTTCTATCGCACATTACATTTGAAGAACCGGTGAGTGGTTATATGTATATAGGGAATGATATCAGTTTATAACATGTACAAACGTCTTCGTTTTCTTTACAGGCAACATCTAAACTATTAGTTAATTACCCAGAGAAACAAAGAAATGAAATCCTCGACTATGTATTCAAAGTAAGTGTTTTATGGAATTGAGATCAATGTAAAATTGTAAAACTTTTTAACGGCAGCGTTTGGACTCTCATGGATGGTTAGTACAGACAAAATATATCATTTTCACATATCTTGTTTAAGGACGCAATGCGGGGTTCAACCAAACTAAATTAGCTCACTCATATATCAGCAAAGACACAGAAAACTTTACTAATGTCACATTTATATATACTATATATTCAAAGTAAGTATTTATGGAATTGAATTTTAAGAAAGAGTATTTTAACTGTTTAAAGCATTTATGGGACGTTTATGGATGATTAGCACAGACATGACATTTTAAGTCAAAATAGGTTTTAAAAAGAGTTATATTAAATTGAATATCTCACTTGCCCTTACTTTCAGAAAATTAAATGAAGAAAAATGAAAACAATACTAATATGTTGTTCTTCAGCCCAATTTTGGAGCGTCACTGCACATTCTGAAGGTTGAGATTGGTGGAGACACACAAAGTACAGGCAAGTGATAATGTATGAAACAGCTGTAACCAAGGAGGCATCAACACAGTAAGGATGAAGAAGATGTAGTCAAGACTGTTTTCTCTGACATGTGTAGATCTCTGACACAGGACCGATCAAACTTCGGATATGAAGCTGTGGTATAAAATCTACAATTCGAACAACGATAAACACTTAATCCTCTTTTATAAATTAAATTATTGGATATTTAAATAGTGCAAATATCAACGCACAAGTGCATGCTCAAGGCGCTGGTATTTTTTTCTCCCCCTCGATCATTGGATGTCAATCTCAACGGCACATCGTATTATCAATCTCAACTCCCTGGAGAGCATACAACTCTTGCTGCCACAAGGCGCACCGAGTTATTACGGCTTTCCATTCTTACGAGGTTCCCATTCACAGCTGGGTGGACTAGGTGTTTGCACGTATTCATGTGGCCACCATCTGGTCATATACCAACGGATTCGTGGGTTCTTTTAAGTGCACAGGGTTGTGTACTGTACACTAGGGGTTGTGAGAACACTGAAAGAATCTGCACACAAAGCTGACTCCAAGGTTTTTACACCCGATCACAGTTGGGCTCGATCCCGACACCTCATGTCCGCTAGATCACTAGCTTGTCACCTTGGCCAGCTCGCCCACCATGCCCTACGAATGGTGCTCTTAACTTTAGCAAGACATTTAGGATATTTCAGATGACTGATCATGAATTATTGACTCGATACATTCATTAGAGATAGACAGATGCACATAGTTTCAATATTATTAATAATGTTTCAAGATGATTTGATTGTTTCTCTTTTCCACAGATGGGTCTGAATCAACTCACATGCGAACACCTGATGAGGAAAATTATCAGAGAGGTTATGAATGGTGGCTGATGCAAGAAGCGAAGAAGGTTTGAGTGTTTTGGTTTGAATTTTAAAAAATCTCACAATTCCCTCATGAAATGGTAAACAGAAAACATAATAGAGTTCAATATGTTGTGTCATAGAAATAAGACGTAACATTAATTATGTTAATTTTAAACTTAATTGTGCTCTGAAACATTCCTCTGAATTACACTTAGATCTTTCGCAATAATTATATCTGTATAATGCATCCACATTACAGAGGAACCCGAACATCAAGCTATACGGCCTGCCCTGGGGTTGGCCTGGCTGGGTGGGAGGGGACACGGGGAACGTGTACGACAACCCTGAACAGACAGCCATGTACATTGTCAAGTGGATCATTGGAGCAAGAACACACTATAACCTCACCATTGACTATGTTGGGGTATGTATATTGCCAATGCCAAAAATTCGTATGTATTATGAAACTAACAAAACGCTTTAATCAGTATAGTGAGGTCAATATTAAAACATAAATAACTGAACCATCTTACACGGGAGGTTGTTTTCGGGATATGCAAGTCTTTATTACTTGTTTACATTTATTCACTGCTTACTCGTGAATCTAAACATTGAGAAAATTATGCAAACTGCTACATGAGCTTTATAACACCTACTCAAAGGAAGGAAACATGCTTAGATGACGAAATGGAAAACTATTGCAGGGGGAACATGAAGCTAGAAACGGATTCGGGATTGGGGATTGGGGATTCGAATCCCGAATCTGAATTTTTTGTTCACATTCGGGATTCGAATCCCGAGTATGAAAAAATATTCAGTTTCGGGATTCGAATCCCGAATGTGAACGAAAAAATTCAGATTCAGGATTCAAATCCCCGATCCCCAATCCGTTTCTAACTTCATGCTGCGAAGTTTTTTGAGTCTCCAATATTTAAGCAAGTTTTGAATGAAATCTGAATATTTGATGGTCTTCTTGTAAATACTTCTTTGTATATATTTTAATTTCAGATTTGGAATGAGAGTCCATACAACACAACCTACATTAAGGTAGAGTGTAGAGTAGCGTCTTTGAAAGAACTAAAGATGTCAGTTACTTTAATTCATTAGGTACACAAACAGAAGTGGTGTGTTGTGTTCTGTGGAACTATCTTACGAAACATCGTGACCCAAACACACGCACGGATCACTCTAATCTGACAAGCCAGAGGGCCAGTTGGTTGTGTGTTCGCCTGAACACTACCAGTTTTCATCAGTAAATATGATGCAACAACTTGAGGTGAAATAGGAAATTAATGCTGGTATCTAAGTATTGGAAGACAGGAAGTACGTCAAGTCAATGTGACATTTTAACGACAAAGGTCAGTCCGTGAATCCTTGGTCAAATCCTTCACTGAATATATTATTTCAGATTTATTTCTCAGTAGTTCAGTCCACATTAAACATGACTCCAGGTTCAAGGTCCGGTTTGTTCAGGGCCAAGTTCCTTTAAAACTAAATTAGCAATAATGAATTTTATGCATTCCTCGTGATATATATATATGATGTCAGCATTTGCAAGCATCGATCAGTTATGATCTACACGTAACAACTCATTGAGCTCTAAATCGTTATGATAGTTTCATGTGTCTTTATTTCACATTTCGTAACACCGTTTGTGTTTAGACGCTAAGAAAGATGCTGGACACACACGGATGCAGCTTCACCAAGATCGTGGCAGCGGACTTCTTCCACTGGGACAACATTGCTGGTGATGTCCTGGCCGACCCGGTCCTGGCTGATTCTATATACGCTATTGGGTAACTATATATATAAATACTAACTGTTATACACTGTGTGGAGACATACATGTACTTGATGACTCGAACCTGGTTTGTGCCCCTATTGGTGGTATAGCTGGTGTGAACTGTTGTATGTTATCTCAATATTACGATTATTTATAAATATGACCGATAATGAAATATCAAGGGATATCACTGAGCATGACTACCTACCTATATAACGCTATCATGGTTACCATTTATCAAGGTATATGTATGTTTTAGTGGAGAATGATTAGTAACCATGGTGACATGTTACAGCAGAAGGAGCCTGATGTGTAGAACGCTGCACACCCAGCACTGATGAACTTCTCAACCTTTTGTACCTCATACATATAATGCAAGTCATTATTTTCGGCCTTCTCCAAAGATCATGTGACAAAATAAATTTTGGTAGCAAAAATGTCTCAGAAATGCTAAAGAATACCTCACGTGGATCTGTTTGGAATGTGTATTTCAGGGTTCACTATCCTGAAGAAAACAGCTCATTGTATGCCGTTGATACTGGGAAACAGTTGTGGGCTTCTGAAGATCATGCTGTCAAGTCAAACATGGTAGTGTATCATCTACGTGTTTACGTAGTATTCCTTCATTGCCAGCATCATATGCTTGTCGTACAAGGATACTGACTGGATTGGTGACCAGGCTCTTTGACTTGGTTGTCATCGTATCCAGTATCAAGTCAATCAATGGATTGTTTAGTTCAGATTCGACTATTTACAGAAAGTCGTCATTTAGTTGGACCGAATCGTAAAACACATAAACTGCAAAAGATTATATTGTTGCAACAGACTAATTTATGTATATTATTATGTGATCTGTATTGCAATGTGTGACAGTCCCATCTGCAAATCGTGGTTCACGATTACCATTGATTAGTTTGGGCCATCATCAGTTTGACCACATTGGTTTGTGTTGCCTTTGGTCAATGTCATCATTGTCCAGTTTATACATTGTTACCACTTTCCGTTCAATCATCTGTTGGTGTCACAGCTGCTCAGTAATAAATTGGGGGCGGTGGGGTAGTCTAGTGGTTAAAGCGTTGGCTCGTCACGCCGAAGACCCGGGTTCGAATCCCCACATGGGTACAATGAGTGAAGCCCTTTTCTGGTGTCCCCCGCCGTGATATTGCTGGAATATTGCTAAAAGCGGCGTAAAACCAAACTCAGTCAGTCAGTCAGTCAGTCAGTAATAAATTGACTGATTCAACCTTTTAGTGTTACCACTGACTAGTAGTGAATTGACTGATTCAACCATTTTAGTGTTACCACTGATCAGTAATAAATTGACCTATTTAGCCATTTAGTATTGCCACCTATCATTAATATATTGACTGATTTAGCCATTTTAGTGTTACCACTGATCGGTAATATATTGACTGATTTAGCCATTTAGTATTACCACCTATCATTAATGAACTGACTGATTTAACCATTTTAGTGTTACCACTGATCAGTAATATATTGACTGATTCAACCATTTAGTGTTACCACTGATTAGTAACATATTGGCCGATTTAGCCATTTAGAATTACCACCTATCAGTAATGAACGGACTGATTCAACCATTTTAGTGTTACCACTGATCAGTGTTCGTTTTACGCCACTGATTAATGTGCCACTGAGGAACGTTATCATTATATATCATCAACAACAAGTCTCTATTTTAGTCAGTCATTTATCAGTATCGCCAATGATTAGTGTTATCAATGAACTGGAAGGTGAATTATTGTGGTGATGTTTGCCAATGGATAAAGTTTTCCATTTTTGCTAACAATCTGAATATATTTACTGTTATTTGTTATAGCGATGGAACAGAAATTACGTGAATGGATATATGACCGGGTAAGTCAAGAATCATACGGGATAGGGCAGCAAGTAATCTCAACTGAGCCAGCACTCAAACTATTATTATAGCATTACAGCTTCTCATATTTCAAGCACGTATGTTGGGTGTGACTCTTTAAATAGTATGTTCACAGCATCGCTTTTTCCAGTATGTTTTTGAAGATAGAATTGGCCTTCAGTAAATCATGCTTGTCGTAGGAGGAGACTAACGGGATCGGGTGGTCAGGCTCACATGTCACCGTGTCCCATTTGCGTAGATCGATGTTCATGTTGCTGATCACTGGATTGTCTGGTCCAGACTCGATTATTTACTAACCGCCGCAATAGAGCTGGAAAGTTTGCTGATTGCGGCGTTAAACAACAACCCAACCAACCATAAGTACTGTTTACAAACACGTTCTTGTAACAAACACTGAATTATGAAAATTCAACGTCATTTTTATTACTGTTTGAATTATCACTTTTTCTTGAACAAAAATCATTTTAAAAAAACACTACTCGAAAGCTGAGACAGAACAAACTAAACGCATAGACACATAAACGTGAGCTAAGCAACTGTCAGACTTTCAAATTTAGTACAGAGTGAGAACTCTACTTATCGAATGGTTATAATTTTCAGAACCGTGATATGGGCGATTCTCAGTGCGTGGTATCCGGGACTTCCTTGGATAGGCTCAGGTCTTCTAAATGCTGAACAGCCGTGGTCGGGGTACTATGAAATCCCCCAGTATATCTGGCTTGCAGGTAACACCAACCTTTCTAAAATATGCAGCGTTTAATACTGGGCTCAGCTGAACCATTAGAGTAATATCCATCGTGTTACAGAGTAGTGTGTTATCTATACAAACCTTTGCCCACTAGCTCTTGCATTGTAACATTTGTATAAACATTCTTATACAAATGTCCCAATATACCTTTACAGCCCACACTGCTCAGTTCACTGAACCAGGCTGGCAGTACTTAAGACACGGTGTTGGGGTGGACAGGTTGGCCGGAGGGGGGACGTTCGTGTCCCTTGTCAGCCCCGATGGGAAGGACTTCACTATCATCCTGGAGACTGTGGTATGTACTCTGACATAGCAATCACGTGCCAACTACACGTTTAGGCAAATGTGCAAGTTTAACATTGCAAATATACTCATGGAAACGAATAAGGGAACACATGAAAGTACAAGTGTTCCTTTACTCTTTTCCAGAACTACACCCACAGTGCAATACAAAGCTTGTGAAGAAACGTGGAAAAGAATATAGGAACACTTGTACTTTCAGGTGCTCCCCTTTTCGTTTCCATGAGTATAAATCGTTTTAATGATCGTGAAACATGGTTGAACATTGTCGCCACGGTCGCCAGAAAAATGGCAGAAATTCTGCAGACTGCAAAGAAATAAGTTTTGTAACATGTTTTCACATATATATCTAAGATGTGTGATTTTTCCCCAACAGCAACAAAACTACACAGGACCAGAATCCGTTGTTCAGCCTCAAAATGTCACCCTGCAATTGAAAGGAACATTGGTAAGTGTTATTTGCGTCAATGGTCATACCATATTTGGTAACAATATAGGAAATATTGAAACAGCGCTCAGTTATGTACAAGGTGAATTCATTACAAGACTAATCATGAAATATATTGGGGGTATGTTTCTAAAATGGACGTTGATTGATTGAGTCCGCTTTTTTCCTCTTTGTTACCATGTAAATATTTAACATCGACTATTTGTCTTGTAGAGCAGAGTGACCAGCTTCAACGTGTGGTTTTCTCAACTGACTGACCCGACTGGAGCAACCGCTCTGTTTGAGTCGAGACCCCCAATACAGGTGCTATGATGACCTCTTGAAGCTGTGTACACAGTATACTCACAAGGGATAATGTTTGGGAAGGGGTATCCTTATCTACAATGTATACTTATCTTTATCATAAACTTATCCTTAATAATAACCCTAAATAATACTTCCAAACCCTGTTTCGCAAGACACAGACACATGTCTAGAACATGTTAATGAACCATATTCATTTAAGGACACACTTTTCTTTAATTCATTATGTTATGAACATATTCCAGGTTGTTGACGGAGTAATAAATCTCGACCTCCTACCAGATCAAGTGTACACGTTCACCACCTTGACCACAGGTCACAAAGGGTCATTTCAGGATGCTCCTCCTCCACCGAAAGATTTTCCGTTGCCCTACACTGATGATTTTGAAAGTAAGTGTCAATGCCAAAAGGGCACCATCTTGTTTGCTCAAATGGTGATTCAGTTTGATGTAATATTAACACCACACATGATCGAGTTTTACTGTTGAAACGTATATGCCAAGATTTATCGAGAACATTTCTTTAATTAGGTTATGAAGAATTCGAGGAACCCTTCATGATAGCCCAGCAGACCGGAAGCTACGAGGTGGTCAGTGGTCAAAGTGACCATGGCAAGGTCATCCGGCAGATGACCATACAACATCCGGTCAAGTGGGTGTGGTGTCATGCAGAGGATTTAGGGTTGTCAGCCGCTGTATTTGGAAACTATCACTGGTGAGTCATACGTACATGTACAACTGACCTGACTTGTCATTTGCTGTGTGTTATAGAAGCTTTACATCTGCACCTCGAAGAACAAAACTGGAATTTTGAAATCAGTGAGTGAGTGATTCAATATCAAATGCGACATACGTTTGCCATCCATGCACTCAATCATGCACTCATTCATTCATATGCTGTGCAACTGACATGTGTTGTCATTTGCTGTGTTCTATCGGAGAAGCTATATATTTGCTTCTCTGCAGAACAAAATACAAGGGTGGTAAATAAGTAAGTGTGTGAGCTCTTGACAGTGAGTGAGTGAGGTTAGTTTTTCGCCGCAATCAAAAAAATATTCCAGCTATATGGCGGCGGTCTGTAAATAATCGAGTGTGGACCAGACAATCCAGTGATCAGCAGCATGAGCATTGATCTGCGCAAATGGGAACCGATGACATGTGTCAACCAAGTCAGCGAGCCTGACCACCCGATCCCGAGTTCTTGACAGTATTCATTATGCTATATGATGCTCATAAAGGTAACAGTAAAGTGGTGTGTGTGTGTGTGTGTGTGTGTGTGTGTGTGTGTGTGTGTGTGTGTGTGTGTGTGCTCATTAACTGAGAAATACAATAATTTATGGTAAAACAATCAAAGAATTTAAAGACATTGCTTAGTTGGTAGCTTTGAAATAGTGATCGAACAACAACAGTCATCAGGTTTTTCAATAGCCATAAGAAACCACATGTAGGAACTGAAATGAAACCTTTTGTAATTGCTGGATCGGAATTCACTCGGCGGGTAAAGGTTTTACGTCACCTTTAGAAAACTTAAGAGAAACAAGTTTTATTGATTAACAACTTCTTTATTGCAATAGATGCGTCATTTTGCTGTGGATGCTAACACCGTTATCAAGCAAGAGTCCATCCATAAAACTTGTTCCTTTTCATCACAGCACCTTCTAAATGCCACTTAAAAAGGTTTTGCGAATTTATTCAATATCTAGACTTGGGACACCAAAATAGACTTCACACAGTGTACCATGCAAGAAATCGAACCAGGACCATCGGCGGGACGAGCAAGCGCTTTAACCACTTGGCTACCCTTCAATCAGAATTCATATTGTCATTGTAAATAGTAAAACATGAGTAGCAACCGAAATATAATTTACGAAAAAGTGCTTAATCAGACAAAAGTATTGTCATTTAATTGTCTGGCTTGGAAGGCAAGGGTACTTCTCTGCGGCTTCAGGTAACAAACTAACTTTAATCTGCAAATTTCGTGAGTGGCAGGTGATGCCTGTATGGTAGGACATGCTCACCCTTTTTTCAAACACCTTGTATTATCATTGAATTTAGTAATGCATTCATATAATGATCACCGTTTACGCCATATGGAATCTGTTTCAATGAATAACCGAGAGTGATATTTTCTGACGTTGCCGTGTTAATAATTATATATATTCAATAATATATTCATTTAATTCAATATTTTGTTTGTAGGAGCGACATTTACATCGAAGCTGACATAGGCATAGATCAGGGCGCGTCGAGTTCGACAGCAAACGGAGCGTTCCTTGCAGCCAGGATCAGTGTCGGGGGATGTAATTTGCCAGACAGTCTTGGTGTCTTCTTCTTTATCAACCCTGCAGAAGAAACATATCAAGTGACTACAAACCTTGGTAATGTTTCATTATTGCTTTGTAACGTAAAGTCAGTAACCCGTGAAGATCCGGGTTAAAATTATCTTCAGTAACCCATGCTTGTCGTTAGAAGCGACTAACGGGATCGGGTGGTCAGGCTCGCTGACTTGGCTGGCACGTGTCAACGTATCTCGATTGCTTAGATCGATGCTCATGCTGTTGATCACTGGATTGTCTGGTCCAGACTCGATTATTTACAGACCGCCGCCATTTACTGGAATACAGTGTGGTGTAAAACTAAACTCACTCACCCTGGAAGTAGTAGGGCTGATCTCTCAGCGCGATTTGACTTATGAAACAAGTAAAAAAATCTTACGGCCCTAGAAGGAGAAGTTGAGATAATTACCTTTGAGGATAGTGAGCGGGTAAACATAAGAGTGACAGTACAGTATAGAATGTATTGTAGGTATAGTTAGGTTAATATAAATGCATGTGGAGGTTTTCGATTAGATGCTCATGATGTCACTCCCTGGATTGTCTCGTTACTTACCGTCATATAGCTCGAACATTGTTGAGTACAGCGTTAAACAACAAACAAGTAAACAAACAGATGGAGATGTATTGATTTGTCCAAGACTAATCATACGATCTTATACATTTATGGTTGACGAGAATATATTTTCAAACTTCTGTTTCAGAGAGGAATCAGACACTCATCAATGGTAGAACGAATACTTTCAGTGGCACAAAGTGGAACAATGTTGGCTTACTTGTAAAGGTGAGACAGAGACACAAGTTACAAAGAATGAAACACAATGAAAAAATATAGTCTGACATTTTGAGGTTTCGGTTGAATCATAATTTTAATCAAATCATTTCACGTGACCGAATGCTAAAAAGGATCGTAATGAATATAGTTTCTTTAGAAAATATGATTCAGCATTACTCATAGTGCTCAAAATGCTATTCGTCAGAAGTGCATAAATAACTGCCATTTTACCAAAACTATACTGTCAAGTAAATATTTTTCAGGGTTCCATGGTGATCGGGACATTAAATGGGTATCAACTTTTCAACGTATCCTCCGTACCTGAAACTGTGGAGATTGGCTTTGCTGGCCTCGGGACTGGGTCGTACGGATATGCTGACTACGACAACTTGAAAGTTTTACCTCCAAATGATGGATTAGGGATAATCGAACGGCTAAGATATAAGAAATCTGGTATTAATTAATACTGTCGTTACTTTATGTTACTCTTGAAAGCAGGATCACCTGTACCTGTTACCCAAACTGTTATAAATAAAAAAGTGATGTATACCATTTGTGTCATTACTTTGAAAACGTGTGTACTTGCTCGTTTTTAGACATCTCTTTGCAAAGATGTCTATTCATGGCTGATTTCCCTTTCGCAATTAGACATGCTGTCAAACGGCTAAAATATTATGTTAGGAAGTTATGAATGTGATGTTTTTAACCGAGCTAATAAAAAACGTAAAACACTTTGTGTTTAAAAAGACACGTGAAATTGCGTGAAAAGATACCACACAAGTCAATCTCAGTCGTGTTGAATGGTGACATGAACGTGAAATACGTGAACGAACGAGATACTATCGAAGCTGGGTCAGTCAGCTGATCTGTCGTGTGACTGGTCTGAGAACTATGTCACCTAGTAATCGGAACATGAATGAAGCTGTGGTCGTTATCACACATTGTCACAGCTCATGTAGGCGTCGTTACCGACGTGCATTTCATTTCATGACACACACGACTGTAGCCATCCAAACAAGTACATACATTCACCTACTTGAGATCAGTACTCTTTTTATCTTAGGACTGCCATTAATATAAATTAGTCAATACTCAGAAAAGAGTCCGCAACCTAAAAACTAGTCTGTCATACAGAGCCTGAAACAAATATATCCATACCAGCGCCTGGAGCACGCACTAGTGCGTGGATATGTGCGCTATATAAATATCCCACGATAATAATATCCAAGAATGCCCACTCAAGTGCTAGAATATGTGGCAAGTCTAGATTTCTACAGTTTCAGAAATGATGAAAATCTCTGGGCCTTTTCATTTATTTTATGAGTATTTTATACCACAGTTTTTTTTCTGTAAAGACTGTTCGAAGACTAGATGTTAATCTACCTAAACAATAGTGATGAATCAATCTGTGTGTGTTGCCAAAGGTGACACAACTCCACATGCTTGAGTGAATTGGAACTTAGAACAGTTGTACATTATTAAGTGTCTTGGATGAAGGCACAGGTGTTTCGTAAAAGCCTAGCGGTTAAAGCGTTTGATCGTCATCCCGGGTTCGAATACCAACTTAGGTACAATGTGTGAAGCCCGTTTGGGGTGGAATATTGCTGAAAGCGGAGTAACATCATACTCACTCACTCACTCACCTTGATGACACAAAACATAAATAAATACATCAGCACAACCACAATTATTGTTTTATGTTTGTGATAGGAACGATGGCAGCAAAACACCAGTACTGATATAAGTGATATGCAAAGTCCTTTGTAACGTATTTCACAGGAAAGGACATGTAGGAATTATGTTTTTTGTGTTTATCCCATATTTCTTTTGTAAAATCAAATCTTGTGAATAGTACGCGATGGAGATGCATATATTCGCCAGTCAGAGTTCATAATACCATTGACCTGTCCTTCACGCATTGTTTCTGAACGTGCTTGACAACGACCTTTACATACAGGTCCGGCGATAAGGCGTTACATTTGATAACTAGTAGATATTATTACAGCATTCCGAGGTGACCTTGACGTGTCGCATGTAAATTTGTTGTTATTTTAAATCAAATAATTAATGAAGTCGAGAACGTTAAGGTTATCAAGTACATATAGCAAGGTCATTTAAAGTGTAAGAAAGAGAACACTGTTTCATATGATGTAGAGAAGAAACGTACACCCGCACATTGTAAGTGAATGACTTTTTACGCCGCCTTTAGCAATATTCATGCCATGTCACCTAGAAAGACTGCTAGAACGGGCTTCACATATTACACCCATACAGGGAATCGAACCCAGATCTTGGTGTGACAAGTCAACATAATCACAGTGACTGACTGAGTTTGGTTTTACGCCGCTTTTAGCAATATTCCAGCAATATCACGGCGGGGGACACCAGAAATGGGCTTCACACATTGTACCCGTGTGGGGATTCGAACCCGGGTCTTCTGCGTGACGAGGCAACGCTTTAACCATTAGGCTACCCCACCGCCCCCAACATAATCACAAAGCAGCCCTGTCGCCTATACTATATCTACTATAAACATCTGTCTTACTAACCTACATGTATTTGATAACGACTATTTATTCGTGTGCTGTATAGATATTGACAGGTATGCGTGTGAAAGGCGTGATCTCATAGCCATCACTTTATGATCTGAGAAATCGATGGCCCTGAATATATTTGTCATCCTTGTGAGCATTTCCCCTGTATTGTCTGAGAGGGATCTCTACTATCTGGACAACTCTAATGGACTTGGGAGGGTGTTCGATGGTATTGGAGGAATCAGCGGCGGGGGAGTAAGTATTCATGCCATTTATGGAACAAAAGAAATATCATTTAGGGAAAAGTATACCATACCTCAAATTCTATAAATGAATAAGGCAGGACTAAAAATGGCAGTTCCTGTAAGTATGCAAGTATTCATTCTTGGAACAATTGTTTGTCAATGATGGCGACCTGCTCATGTATCTCTGTGTTATATGCATTATACCAGTGACAACGCGCACTGAACGCTTGTTGGATCACCTGGATTGTCCCGGGATAGGTAAGCGTCATCCACAATAGAACCGCCAACAGCTAGAAGCAGCACTGAGAAAAGGGGTTGACGTCATCAACGAGATAGTGACGTGTGCGTGAACTCGTGCTCTTGGTGGTCAAATTCGTTATTGAGAATATCTGGTATCTGTGAACCAACTGATCATGAAACCATCTGAGTGAGCGAGTTTGGTTTAACGCCGCCTTTAGCAATATTCCAGCAATATCACGGCAGGGGACACCAGAAATGGGCTTCACACATTGTACCCATGTGGGGAATCGAACCCGGTTCTTCGGCGTGAGGAGCGAACGTTTTAACCACTAGGCTACCCCACCGCACCCTGAAACCATATGATTGGCCTTACTGTGAACTGTGAAATTGCGTCCCCGCGTTACTTGAAGCTCATGTGGACGTCATCTGTTTATACGCATATCAACACCGAACGGCCATTTTCTGCTTGTCTCATTTTTAGCCATCATCAAACAGGGCTGTATACTTACTATTACTCAGTTTAGAAGGTTTAGTTTCAAAATATAAACGCACTGATATTTGTCTATGTGTGCATAAATTCATACGTGGTTTGTTACAGGCAACATCCAAACTACTTGTTAATTACCCAGAGAAACAAAGGAATGAAATCCTCGACTATGTTTTCAAAGTAAGTCGGTGTTGAGCTGATGAATGTCTTTATCCTCCACACCTCTAAATCAGTGCGGCCGTGAAGGTCCGGGTTAGAATTGATCTTTAGTAACCCATGCTTGTCGTAAGAGGAGACTAACGGGATCGGGTGGTTAGGCTCGCTGACTTGGTTGACACATGTCATCATATCCCAGTTGCGTAGATCGATGTTCATGCTGTTGATCACTGGATTGTCTGGTCCAGACTCGATAATTTACAGACCGCCGCCATATAGCTGGATATTGTTGAGTGCGGCGTAAAACTAAACTCACTCACTCATTTAAATCAGTGAGTGAATGAGTGAGTTTAGTTTTACGCCGCTTTTAGCAATATTCCAGCAATATCACGGCGGGGGACACCAGAAGTAGGCTTCACGCATTGTGCCCATGTGGGAATCGAACCCAGGTCTTTAGCGTGACGGGCGAACGCCTTAACATCAAGGCTACCCCACCGCCCCCCCTTTAAAACAGGTATTAAATAATAATGGAAGATAAGTATCTTATTATTTAGAACAGTGAGTGAGTGAGTTTAGTTTTTTCACCGCTTTTAGCGATAATCCAGAGATATTACGGCGGGGTAACCAGAAATGGGCGTCACACATTGTACCCATGTGGTGAATCGAACCCGGGTCTTCGGCGTGAAGAGCAAATGTTTCACTACTTGACTACCCCACCGCCCATTATTTAGAACATGTGGTCCATGAGAAAAGCAGTTGCATATGTCTGACGTCATATACACTTTGTCTTCTTCAGCCACATTTTGGAGCGTCTGTGCACATACTGAAGGTTGAGATTGGCGGAGACGCCCAGAGTACTGGTGAGTGAAAAATAAGACATAGCAGATATAGTTGCCACTAATTTTAATAGTGAGTGAAAATTCTTTGCTTCCTCGAAAAACCCTATTTGATCTTACATGATCACCATTTCATGAAACCCACAAGACCAGATTGGCACTGTAAATATAATCATCACAAACCTGGGATTCGAACCCACATTCAAACCTTTCCGCTTTGCCAAAGGGACGTAACTCAACTTAGATGACTGAGCTAACTGTGCCCACCTCCAGTTTTGAAGCACTTCTGTGGAAGGAATGAACAGTGAGCCGTCTAACTACCAACATATGCATGTGGCACGGCTAACATACATGCACACATGCCATATCGACCTATGGCAGAGGAACTATGACAGAGAGCCAGACCTCTGAGTCTGACCGTCACGTATGACAAGCAAAACACACCTGGGCATCCAACACAGAATCCAGACCACAAATTATCTTTACTATGACCCAATATCGACTCGAAATAAGGATTGGTCGGTGTATTCTTATTGGTTCTTACTAGGCTCCTCGGCACTTTTGTATTATTTCATAAATTCTAACATGACACTTCTGGTATTTCAACATATTATCAATAAAATTAACTTTAATTGTATCACTTTTGTCAACATTCGACAGATGGCTCTGAATCAACTCACATGCGAACACCTGATGAGGAAAATTATCAGAGGGGTTATGAATGGTGGCTGATGCTAGAAGCTAAGAAGGTTTGTAAACTTTCAACAAAATACCCCAAAATGTTTTTATTAAATATTTTCCTGATTTGTACACAGCAGGTATTGTACTCACACAACCCTGAACAGACAGTCATGTTTGTTGTCAAGTGTATCCTGGGTGCCAAGTAGAAATGTGTAATATTACATCTATGTTGTTCTTTTACCTCTACTTACAGCGGAACCCGAACATCAAGCTGTACGGCTTGCCCTGGGGGTGGCCTGGCTGGGCGGGAGGGGACACGGGGAACGTGTTCGACAACCCTGAACAGACAGCCATGTATGTTGTCAAGTGTATCCTGGGTGCCAAGTCGAAATGTGTAATATTACATCTATATATGTTTCTTTTACCTTTCCTACTTACAGCGGAACCCGAACATCAAGCTGTACGGCTTGCCCTGGGGGTGGCCTGGCTGGGTGGGAGGGGACACGGGGAACGTGTACGACAACCCTGAACAGACAGCCATGTATGTTGTCAAGTGGATCATTGGAGCAAAGACAGTCCACAATCTTACAGTCGACTATGTTGGGGTACGTATACTGCAATTACCCGTATGTAATATGAAACTCAGGAAACGATAAAAATAAGTATAGTGAAGCCAATATTAAAACATAAATACCTGAGCCATCGTCCATGGGAGGTTGTTCAATGGATATAGAACTCTTTATTACACGTGGTGAGATGAGATAAAATTGGGTTTATCGTCGTGCTTGAGAAGATTTCGCTCATATGACGACGTGCATGCGTGTGTATGTGTATGTGCGGCTGCTTGTACTAGCCCAGACTGAAGCTGGTTTTATAGCGCTAGCCCACTGAGATACCTATCCGCAGTGAAGCATGAATACCCCACTCAGACACATTATACTGACTCCAAGCCGACCAGTCCTTTTTGTACCCATTAATGCCGAGCGCCAGGCAGGGACCAACAAGTACCATATTTTAACGTCTTTTGGTATGACGCGGTCGGGGATCGAACCCGCGACCTTCCGCTCTCCGGGTGGACGCTCTAACCACTACACCACGGAGGCGGTTCTTTATTATACGTGTTTGATAAGGATGTTAGCATATACAACGAAACTTCGCATCCATACATTTATCACACTTCACCACACAAACTTCTAAATACCACTTAAAGAAGTGTAACATAGTTCCCTTAACCTAAAATATATTTCAAATAGTCGGTTTACGGCTATTTTTTCTGTTTGCATGATATGTTGATTTTCCTGTTTCGAAATATGTTGATTTACCCTTTTACAAATGTAGCAATTTGTCTCGCTACAGATATATGTATTGTCCCATTTTCACAAATTGTGTTGTCCGTCCACACACACACGCGCGCGCACACACACTCACACACGCACGCACACACACATCGCTTCTCCTGTCCGCAGATGTACTGCTCTTACTGTTATTTGATGAAGTAGTAAGAACATACACCGACGAAATGTTGTATCCCTCATATTACAGTAGCGGGCATCCATAAACTTTCACTTTTTATGTGTATCACTTCCAAAAGATATCGCTATTGCCGTGAACAGCTGTATTGCTTTGTTCTGTTTAAAGATATATTGGTTTTCCTGTCTACAGATGTATTGATTTTCTTTCAGTTATGGAATGAGACTCCATATAACACAACTAACATTAAGGTACAGTTACCTTCCATCTGTACACTATATGGTTAGTGTATTACACAGTACGTTAGAGTGAGTGAGTGAGTGAGTATGGTTTTACGCAGCTTTTAGCAATATTCCAGCAATATCACGGCGGGGACACCAGAAATGGGCTTCACACATTGTAAACATGTGGGGACTCGAACCCGGGTCTTCAGAGTGACGAGCGAACGCTATAACCATTAGGCTACCCCCTCACCCCCAACCCCACCCCCAGTACGCTAAAGATACAAATATATGTAGGTATTCCCATTTAGAACACATATCCACCAACATACCCTTGGTGTAAGATCCACCACGGGGGATTTTGATCTGTCATTGGATTATCTGGTGCAGATCTAATGATCAATATGCTGTCGTCAGCAGGGCTATCGCCGGCGGGTGCGTTATACCCCAAATAAATAACAAGTTATATGATTTTTCCTGAACGTTGAGTGTCACTGTTTTTAACTGTAAGTCATCTTGATAAACAACAGTGTGAGGTAATTTAAGTATGTTGTTTACTTGCAATTAAAAAATCATTCTCAAAGCTCCGACTTCACTTATCCATGTTTTATAATTCCTTTATAAATGCTGGTTACTCTAACCTGAATTAATCCCGTTCTGACAGTTGTTAGATGTTTCTGTTATCTGGAATAACCTCACTGACTCGCCAATTGTAGGTTGTATTTTCAGTAGACAGGAACCAAGAGTGGATAATATACAATATCGAGATAAAGAAAACGATATTACTTTTAGATGTACTCTTAATTTTATTCAGGGTATGTCATAGTAAATAATTTGCATGTATGTAAATATCAACACAGATATGCCCCAAACATTTGTTAGGTCCTGAGGAAGATGCTGGACACACACGGATGCAGCTTCACCAAGATCGTGGCAGCGGACTACTTCCACTGGGACAACATTGCTGGTGATGTCCTGGCCGACCCGGTCCTGGCTGATTCTATATACGCTATTGGGTAATTTTATATGGTTAATATAACTGTTATATACTCTAGTGATATATACTAGATGACTAGCTGGTTCTTTATACGCTATTGGGTAACTTCATATCAATAATCGCCCGGAGAGCGGAAGGTCGCGGGTTCGATCCCAGACCGCGTCATACCAAAAGACGTTAAAATATGGTACTTGTTGGTCCCTGCCTTGCGCTCGGCATTAATGGGTACAAAAAGGACTGGTCGGCTTGGAGTCAGTATAATGTGTCTGAGTGGGGTATTTATGCTTCACTGCGGCATGGTATCTCAGTGGGCTAGCGCTATAAAACCCGCTCCAGTCTGGGCTAGTACAAGCAGCCGCACATACACATACACACGCATGCACATCGTCATATGAGCGAAATATTCTCAAGCACGACGTTAAACCCAATTTCACCTCATCTCATCTCATAATAACTGTTATATACTATAGTGAGATATACATGTACTATTATGACTAGCGGGTGCTTTATATGCTATTGGGTAACTGCATAATAACTGTTATATACTATGTCGGAGATAAACTAGATGACTAGCTGATTCTATATACGCTTTTGGGTAGCTTCATATCAGTAATAGCTATTTTATACTATAGTGCGACTAGTGGATGCTTTATATGCTATTGAGTAACTATACATTAACTAATAATTGTCATATACTGTTTCTTAGATGTACTAGATCAGCAGAACCCGGCTGAGTAATTGTTGTAAGCTGTGTCGAATAATTATTATTATTTAGAAATGTGTGCTACTTTTGTTTTTTAACCTGACTTATGGCTATACTTTATGGAAGTTAAGTCAAACTGAATGGTAACTTTGTTGTTACTATGACAGGAAACCCGTATAAATTGATATACATTCAAAAATGTCATTTTGTAGCATACAAAAATGGCTTGATTCCGTCTTAAAATAATTTTGCAAAGTATGACCAATACACTAAACAAGACATATATCATACATTTCGGTATCCTTGATTTGGAAGGAATCAAAACTTTCCAAGCACATTCACAAGTTCATCAGCAGTGACTTCTTGTCTGTCTTGCATGAACGGTTACATGGAAGTTGTGCCAGGGATTACTAACTGCAAATATATTATAACATGTGTTTCAGGGTTCACTACCCCAAAGAAAATAGTTCTTTGTCTGCAGTTGCTACTGGGAAACCACTGTGGGCCTCAGAAGATCGAGCTGTGAAAGCCAATATGGTATGTGTGTCTCATACACGTATCATGATAAGTAATACTTTCAAAGATGGACGCAATGAAAGCGCATTATTCTTCACGCGTTAGTGTCACAACTGAGCATTTGCTTTGTATTTAGCGAGTTTGAGCTGCCGGGATCGAGCTCATCTGTAACCGGGTGTAAACATCTTGGAGTCAACTTTTTGTGCAGACTCTTTCAGTGTTCTCACAACCCCTAGTGTACAGTACACAACCCTGTGCACTAAAATAGACCCAAGAATCCGTTGGTAAATGACCAGATAGTGGCCACATGAATACGAGCACACACCCAGTTGCGGGTACAGCAACGTGCAGTAAAACTTGGACAAAGTACTGTGACTACGTGTCCTAGTCCAACCAGCTGTGAATGGGTATCTCGTTAGGATGGGAAAGCCACATTAACTTGGTAATATTATGTGCCGCTAAGATTGACATCCAGTGATCGAGGGAAAAACAAATAAGCGCTTTGAGCATGCATGCGGGATGGTGGAATAGGCCCATATACAGCCTCAGAAGAATTCCTGCCAACAAACCTGATCTTGTGCTTTTTGATAAAGCCAATGAATTCATTTATATCATTGAATTTTCTGTCGCTTTTGACCCCAATGTGATTGGCAAGAGTCAGGAAAAGACATGATAAATATGCGGACCTCGCCTTTGAAATGTCTCGCTTGCATTCCAAGTAAACTTCAGTCAGGCTCCCCATTGTTCTCTGTGCCCTTGGTTTGGTACCTCCTGACCTCTTGGCGCAGATCAGGAGAGTGCCCGGGTTCTCCAACGGGAGCACATACCTTCTGACACTCTGGGTAATGCAGAAGGCTGCAGTGTTGGGGAGCCTTCATATTCTCCGGAAAGTTCTTGGTCGGTTCGACTAGGCAGTGTTTCCTGGGAGAAGTCCCATTCGCTGTCTGGGCTGCGTGTAGAGGGGGCTAGGGCCCTGATCTGATGATGAGCCTTACCAGCCTGACTGTGCCAGGATCACCCGAACCCTCTCTGCTGCATTTTCATCTTTCATCTGTAAAACATAATAATAATACTCGTGGAAACAGGTGACGTTCCTCCGTGGTTCTGCAAAGGTCGCACAATACTTCTTCCCAAGAAATGAAGACTTGACTGATCCAAAAAACTTCCGCCCTATCACATGTTTGAATACACATTACAAAATATTCACAGGGTGTTTGACAAACATCGTGTCATCTTACTGCCCTCCTCTAAAGACATAATTTACAGAGAGCAGAAGGGGGCAAGAAAGGGATGTTGGGGGTGCAAGGATCAACTTTTTGTACAGAAAATGATTTTGGAAGAGGCTATAACATACCACCGCAACCTCTCCATGTGCTGGATTGACTACAAGAAGGAATACGACTCTGTCCCTGACGAATGGATTCTGAAGTCTCTTCATTGTATTGACCTCCCTGAGCGACTACTTGTCTTTAATGAGTTGCTGGTCGACTCAACTTGAGATGTACTCACAAGGGCAGGTGCAGACTTCAGATTCTATTCCAATCAGAAGGGGAATATTTCAGGGGGATTCCTTTAGTCCTTTGCTTTTTTTTGTCCGTCTTTAAATCCTTTGAGCTTTCTGCTCAACAGGGAGGAGGGTTACCATCCCGGACCTCCTCAGCACAGATCACCAACACCGCTTACTCATCTCCTTTACATGGATGACATCGAGCTCCTTGCCAAAGGAGATATCAATTTGAAAGAACAGGTTCTCCTTGTCGAGTCCTTTTCTAATGATATTGGCATGACATTTGGACTCGACAAATGTAATACTCTTCATTTGAAACGTGGTAAGGTAGTTAATGGTGGATCGGTCAAGTTACTAGGGGTGGGGGGGAGTTATTGAGCATCTTGTGGAAGATCAGTCCTACACCTATCTTGGAATGCAAGTTCGAGACAAGCTCCAGAGTGCCCAAATTCAAGACAAACTTCGGGCCGAGTACAATCTCGCTTAAAGAAAATCTGGAGCTCAGTGCTAAATGAACAAGGTCAAAGCCACCAATACTTTTGCTGTGCCAGTCCTTTGGAGTAGTTAATTGGACCCAACAAGACATCCAGAGTCTTGACCGCCTGACCAGAAGGATCATGTCTGAAAACAGAGCCCATCACCCTCTTTCCTCCCTTAATCGTTTATATACGCCATTCAATTCTGGAGGTCGGGGTTGGATTAATGTGGAGGCTCTTCATGATAGAATTTTATTGTGTACTTCTGCACATATTTATTTATCGAATGATCCTCTGGTGATGCATGTCAAGACTCATGATGAAAGCAAGGAATTCCACAGCTATCTTAAGCGTGCCAAGGTTGTTGGACAGAATCTGAAATTTGAGGTTGATTTTGCTGATGGCGATGTATTGTTTGACGGTACAGCGATGGGAGTAAACCAGGTCCTTCACCAAGTCTGCCCAGAGTTGGTCATTTGTGTAGAAGCTTTCTGAGAAAACACTGCATCGTGTGTACTTGCAGTGTGTGGAACAGAATAGCAGTCCCACCGACTCCTTCGCCTGGATGAAGTCGGCTGGTCTTAAATGTGAAACTTAGGGCTTTCTTTTTGCTGCCCAGGACCAGTCACTTCCCACTCGCAATCGCCAAAATGTTATTCTTAAACACAATATCAATATGAAATGTCGACTTTGCAATGAATTTACAGAGACTGTCCAACACCTTGTCAGTGGATGCCCTTCTTTGGCACAAACAGCATATCTTAAACGACATGATGGCAAGGCTCGTTGCTTTTACTACCGTCTCCGCCATGCCTGTGGCTTTGACTCTGAGGTCCATCCATGGTGCGACCCTGAAATTGTCAAGGGAGTCATGGAAAATGATGCTTTCAAACTTCTGTAGAATAGGCCCATATACAGCCTTGAAGAATTCCTGCCAACAAACCTGATCCTGTCCTTTTTGATAAAGCCAATGAATTCATTTATATCATTGAATTTTCTGTCGCTTTTGACAGCAACGTAATTGGCAAGATTCAGGAAAGGCATGCTAAATATGCTGACCTCGCCTTTGAAATGTCTCGCTTGCATCCCAAGTACATTGTCGTCAGATTCTCCATTGTTCTCTGTGCCCTTGGTTTGGTACCTCCTGATCTCTTGGCGCAGATCAGGAGAGTGCCCAGGTTCTCCACCGGGAGCACAGCCCTTCTGACACTCTGGGTAATGCAGAAGGCTGGGTTGGGGAGTCTACATATTCTCCGGTAAGTTCTTGGTGGGTTCGACTAGGCAGTGTTTCCTGGGAGAAGTCCCATTCGCTGTCTGGGCTGCGTGTAAAGGGGGCGAGGGCCCTGATCTGATGATGAGCCTTACCAGCCTGAATGTGGCAGGGTCACCCTAACCGTCTCTGCTGCATTTTCATCTTAATCTGTAAAATATAATAATTATAAGTAATTGTTTCATAACATACGCTACTGAAACTCTACAGCAGTTGACAATATTTCAAATGTTAAAAATATACAAGAGATGCAGCTGACAGCCGAGCCTCCATTCTGATCACGGGGCACAACAGCCCCATAAAACACAAAACGACCCACATGGGCATCGGGTCAGAAAAAGAGTCATGCCTTTCGCAATAGCCGATCACAGAGTTCTCCGACGGTTGCGGCCGTCGTAAAATGAACCTATGGTTTGTCGAGTCCAGAGTCAAATATTTACAGAGCGCAGAGACATAAATGGTATACGGAAGAGAACCAGCAAAGTAAACAGCCAAGCAATCAGGCTGTGAGATCGGGTTCGATCCCCTACATTGGTACAATGTGTGAAAGCTATTTCTGATGTCCCCAGCCGTGATATTTCTGAAAAATTGCGTGACTACTTTCATTCACCGTGTGACAAGGAATGCAGTGTCTGAATTACATATACAACGTGTGACCAGAAACCTACTCTTGATCTTACTTGATACAATCATTAATATATAATGTTTCATATAATTATTTAAAAAAAATCCCTGTCAAAAAAAAATACCAAATTTGGCAAATATTAATAAAGCGGCTGAACCCTTTCCCCAAACAGTCCATTGTACAATTTGAAATGAAACATATGCAAGCAGAGCATCCAATTTGTCATTATTATCCTATTTATTACAGAAGTGGAACAGAAATTATGTGAATGGATTCATGACAGGGTAAGTCTATTCAGTTTATATAATATTATGTTTGTGCTCGTGGACAAGGAACCATTTGATAGTTTTGATAAATTCCTAGATTCGATTCCTGTATCAGCAGCAATACCATTTGTACATAAAACAAGGTAGGTGTGTTCAGGTTACACAAAATGTGGTTTGCCTTCAAGTAAAAGCCTTTCCCGACAACTTTCAGAACCGTGATATGGGCGATCCTGAGTGCGTGGTATCCGGGACTTCCACTGATTGGTTCCGGTCTTCTGAATGCTGAACAGCCGTGGTCGGGGTACTATGAAATTCCCCAATATGTCTGGCTCGCAGGTAAAACCGTTCTCTAAAGAATCTCAGGTGTTATTTTATGTTCAGCTGAACCATGAGGTGACAGAGGTGACAGAAATGTGATGTTCTGTTTATGTTCCTTCACAGCCCACACAGCTCAGTTCACTGAACCAGGCTGGCAGTACTTGAGACACGGTGTAGGGGTAGACAGGTTGGCGGGAGGCGGGACATTCGTGACCCTTGTCAGTCCTGATGGGAAGGACTTCACCATCATCCTGGAGACTGTGGTAGGTATTCCAGCGCAGAACGGTGTTTTTTTCATAATAATAATATAATAAGTCATCTTCTTTAGCGCACAGTCTCCAAGCACCAAGTGTTTGCTCGCGGCGCTTTTGATTCTTATAATATTACCCCTGATAACCCAAGCTGCCTGTTAGGCGCTAGAAGGTTATAGTCACATGACTTTATCCAACCGGGTACCCATTTTCTGCTGGGTGAACAGAGGCAATTTTGAACAAACTCACTTGCCTAAGGTAAGGTATAAGTCCTAATTAAGAGATAGCTATAAGTGATAATTAGGAGATAGCTAAGACCTAATTATAATAGCTAAGACCTAATTAGGAGATAGTAACTCCCAATTAGGAGATAGTATCACCTAATTAGGAGATAGCTAAGTCCTAGTTAGGAGATAAAAATATTCTGACTGTGGCACTAGGACGCTTCCGTACATATGTATCACATGTGCTTCGTTATAGGGCAGGACTGAAGTGTGTCATGGTGTCAACAAATGCAAACAGCTAGTTTTGTAGGCAAGTTTTTACAAACACGTACGTTTCCAAATTCGAATATTTACTTCTAGAACAACATACTGAACGTCTGCTTACATGTATAAAGGCTTTTTATAACCAAAACATTATCACACATATATTTTCTGCCGCAGAAACAAAATTACACAGGGCCTGAAACAGTTGTAAACCCCCAAAATGTCACTCTGCAGTTGAAAGGATCATTGGTGAGTTTATATTTACTATGCATTTTATGTCAAATCCAGAGTTTTGAAAGAGGGTGTCATGTAAGCTAAACATACCACATGATGAACAGTATGCCAGGAGGATCGACATAGACTGCCATGTTAGCTTTTGTGATTCTGTCAACAACGAACTTTCTGGCAGGTTCATAGCTACAGTGTCTTCGAGTGAGTGAGTGAGTGAGTGAGTGAGTTAGGTCTTAGGCTGTAAGAACACGGTGGGGGATATTAGATATTAGATATTAGACTGTTCATAATCTATGGCTGGGTAGGGGTGATGATTTGTACGGGAAACATGTTAAATGTGAATGACCCCCCTTAAATTTATATACAAAGTAAATCCCTCCCCCTTCCCTCCTGCGTGTCATGTACAAAATCAGTGACACCCCACCCACCCCTAGTACCTCTGTAAAAAGTGATGATCACCTACCTCTCAGAACAAAATAGGTGTGCCCCCCTCCTCCCAATTGTGAATTATGAAAGTCATCATTGTGAATTATGAAAGGTCTGAAATACACAATGCCAAAGGTCCCTTGGCTTCACACAATGTACCCATTAAGGAAATCAAGATCAGGTGACGAACGAACGCTTAAGCCATTTGGCAACTCCACCGTCCCATAATAGTTTAGGCATAATGGAAGATGTATTTATGAGACCAATAACGTTTTAAAAGTACATAACATTTTCAAACTGACTTTTTTTTATCGGTATAAGGTAGGGGATGACAAACACGAAACAAGGAAATAGCGCCTTAATTTCTATAACTGATTTAAGTATTACTAACGTTTATTTGGCGTTCAATATTATGAAAGTGAACTGATTATGAAAAAATGGAACAATGTTGATCGTTACTGATATTTTGATTTACACGTAGTTAGTTAGTTATCATTATTATTTTCGCACAATACATTCGAAGATGTGGTGCATTTGAATTTACAGTCTAGGAATGATAATAATCAAACTGATCGTTGCTTTTCGCAGAGCAACGTAACCAGATTCAACGTTTGGTTTACACAGCTGACAGAGCCAACAGGAGCATCTGTTCTGTTTGAGCAAAGGCCCCAAATGGAGGTACGATGTTTTTCAATGTCTAACGATGCCTAACAAAACATAGTGGCTAGTCAACAAATAGTGCCTACTCATTAGGTTGATTGTGGAATTATAGAATAAAAAAAAGATCTCTTTAATTATATTTTCATTATATTAAAATATATTCATCAAATTTGATTGGAGGCACAAACATGGAAACATTTAATACTGATGATGATGAGAAAAATGTCATATATGTTTCAATTGTTTTTTTATCTCCAGGTTGTCAACGGAATGATAGATCTCGACCTTCTACCAGATCAAGTGTACACGTTCACAACCTTGAACACAGGTCATAAAGGGTCATTTCCGGATGCGCCTCCTCCACCTAAACCTTTTCCTTTGCCCTACACTGAGGATTTTGAAGGCAAGATTGTGACGTTTATTCAGCATTTTTATGTTTTTCAGCCTTCTCAGCCTGTCATCAGCTTTCGTACTTACTAAAAGGTTGGGTTGGGTTGTGGATATTAGTGTAGTCAACTTCATCACAGTAGAAACATACTTCTGAAACATACATATGAACCTTGAGGTTGAAGAGGTTCTTATGGCGTGAAATTTCATTGACTAGGTTACAAAGACAACGAGGAACCCTTTAATATCGCTCAACAGACCGGAACCTATGAAGTGGTCAGTGGTCAAGGTGTCCACGGTAATGTCATCAGGCAGATGACCATACAACGTCCTGTCTCCTGGTCACTGTGCCATGCAGAGACTATAGGGCTATCGGCAGCTGTTTTGGGAAACTATCACTGGTAGGCTTTCAGTAAAACTAATTAACATTGTATATACTTTGTAAAGCTGGATATTGCCCTGATTCTCATATTGCGATATATTGCAATAATTTAAGAGATATTGCAATATATATTGTGATAAATTGAATGGAGTGTTTCTGTCCAAGTGCGTACATCATAAATTCATAATAGCTCTCTGTGTGCGACATTATCTTCATAGTTGACTACTTGAGCTTAAACATCTCATGTGACCTCCAATAACTGAGATCCTTGACTAGGATGTCATTATACAGTCAGTAAGACTTAAAGCTTTAGAAAGACTTAGGCCTTTATGATGTCAGTGATTAATGCAGTATAAACGTGTTAACATGAACTATTCAAAATGAAACACTCATTTAGTTCTGGGGAGTCAGTAAGCTAGAAAGACTTAGGCCTTTATGATAAATTGCATATGTTTCTATTATGATGGGGGAGCAAGGGAGCAATTTTGTACACACATTTTAAGGGGGGGCAGCAAGTTTGTATATAACAATATGTTTTAAATTATTCTAAGAAATTATGTGAAGGGGAGAGGGGGGTCATTGATTTGTACATGACATGCAGGATGGGGTGGGGTGTGACTTATTTTGTACATAATTTTGGGGAGGCATTCACATTGTACATGTTTTTCCATAAAAATCATCATCACCCCCCAAGCCATAAATTATGAGCGGTCCCTTCATTCCTCCAAAATGTATCATATGTATCAAATGTATCAAACCCACAAAACGTAACGCATTTGGTAGAATATTTGGCACTTTTGGAGCCACTTATAAAGATTTTCCCACTTGTAAAATGTTACATGAAACCAACAGAAATAAAAGTATATTTGGCACTTTTAGAACACATTTTTTTGCTTTGGAAATCAAGGACAGATAATGCAAAGGGAGCTAACTCTGGATGACCCAATATATTGCAGAATCTGAACCATATTGCGATTATCGTATCGCGAGATACTGTACCGGTATATACCGGTTTACCGGTAATATTTCACAGCCCTAATACTTTGTCAAATATGTAAACTGTAATATGTACATTGATAATCGGACCTCTACTCAGGACCCTTATAGGTTTTAAGACGTTTGGTTCCTTTGGCAGAGGCGTGCCTTTTGTTTACTATTGATGCACTGGTGCTTCGACGACAGCAACATCACGACAATTTCACCTGAAAATATCCCATACTGAAAATTTCTTTCCGATTATCTAACATGGGCTTCATGATTAAGTGAGTGAGTGAGTGAGTTTAGTTTTACACCGCAATCAGCAATATTCCAGCTATATTGGGGATGTCTGTAAATAATCGAGTGTGGACCAGACAATCCAGTGATCAACAGCATGAGCATCGATTTGCGCAATTGGGAACCGATGACATGTGTCAACCAAGCCAGCGAGCCTGACCACCCGATCCCGTTAGTCGCCTCTTACGACAAGCATGGGTTACTGAAAGGTTCATTCTAACCCGGACCTTCATGAAATTTCAACATAGATGTTTTTGTTAGAAAGCATTAGATTGCAACCAGTTCTTCTTTAATGTATATGTTTGACACGTTCCTCACTATAAATCATCACTTGTGGGGGTAGGAATATATACAGAAAATATAGAACTTCTCAAGCGAAAAATAGTAAACTTTTGTGCTGAGTTGAATGTTTCCTTAGAAACGTATGTTGTGTTATATGAATAGGCGGTTGAACTAGAATCGAGGAAAACACTTGTGTCAATTGTGTTCAATTTCAAACCACTGCAATAACAATGACTATTGGTCTTCTATATAACTAGTGCAGCGAGAGAGCTATGATCGTTATTTTCAAAGTGTTTTGAATAATCCCTTTCATAAATTTTCTTTTCTGCCTTTGTTTAACTTTAAGGAAAGACATCTATATTGAGTCTGACATTGGTATAGATCAGGACATGACGCCGACTGTGAGATCCAATGAGGCTTTTCTTGGAGTGAGGGTTGGGGCAGGGGGATGTGCTTTGCCGGGCAGTCTTGGTGTCTTCTTCTTTGTCAACCCTGTTGCTGGAACATATCAAGTCACCACTGACCTTGGTAAATGAGTGACTGAGTGAGTGATTGAGGTGGATTTGTCGCAACATCAGCAATATCTAAGCAGTACCTTGGCGGGGACACCAGATATGGACCTCACACGTTGTACTCCTGTGGAGAATCTTTTGGCATAACCAATTGTCTACTTGTAAGCAATATTGCTTTAAAAAAGAAAAGGACAATGACTGCGGATAGAACAAAATACACTCAGTGTGTGTCATGTTTAGTTTCATTTTCAGCAAGGCATCAGATACTCTCAAATGGTACAACAAGTTCCTTTGATGGCAAAGAAAAATGGAACAATGTTGGCTTACTTGTCAAGGTGAGACATAGAAACAAGTTTTCTCTCAGTTTCTAGATCTTGTAGTGTTAACTAGTGATTCATAACAACTGGCAAACACATACACACGCACGCACGCACGCACATACACACACGGTAGGTATGTTATAGCATGTAGACATGTCAAAGTGAGGTATCCCGATCGGAACATATACTGCATGTAGCATATTCTATGTGTATATATCCCAAAAACAAATTTCAAGAAAATATGCTCTTGTCCTTTATAACCATACTCAAATTAAAAATGCAAATACCAAAAGGATAAAGAGATTTTAATGTATGGGATTACATTTTTACCTTTGAATGTAGCAACGATATCAACTAATCATGCTGGGATCAACTAATCATGAGACTAATATTTCCAGGGTTCCACGGCGATTGGGACAATCAATGGTCAACAAGTATTCAACGTCTCCTCTGTACCAAGCACTGTGGAGATTGGCTTTGCTGGACTCGGTACAGGGTCGTTCGGATATGCTGACTATGATAACTTGAAAGTGTTGCCATCAAATGATGGCTACAATGTCATCAAGAACACACACAAATCAGACAGTAACTAGCTCATGTGCTGTAAGTTAATAAAGAGAAGCGGCAGACATTTATTCCTGAAATATAGCATCAGGCACTTCAAATCTCTTATGACCTACCGTGTTATGGTTCACATAGAATCTTCTGTAAGAATTATTCCAAGTCTTCTCTTTGATAACTCACATGGAACTCTTTGTTGTGCGGTGTATATCTAACAATGAAACTGTTTTTTTCTGTGTGTAAATACTGTGATTTTTGCAGTTATCCAGGCCAGGACGGCCGGACTTGCGAAACCAGGAGAATACTTTAATAATATTATGATTAATATCAAACTCGTGAAGATCCGGGTTAGAACTGGTCGTCAGCAACCCATGCTTGTCGTAAGAGGCAACTAATAGTTAGACTCGCTGACCTGGGTAACACATGTCATTGCATCCCATTGCGTAGATCGATGCTCATGTTGTCATTCACTAGATCACGCCGCCATATAGTTGGGATATTGCTCAAGAATGCTAACGGAAGCTTTTGACATGAAATAAATCTGCGCATGAGACTCCTTTACGTGCTCTTTAGTTTTAGGTTCACATCTGTTTACGGTACACACACACACACACACACACACACACACACACACGCACGCACGCACGCACGCACGCACGCAATGTTCAACGGGATTTCACACCATAATTTCATAATCTTTCTGAAATTAATGCATTATGTAAACGTCAGATGGATATTTTGAAAAGAAGTAACACACACACTATTGTTACAACAGCGTTTCATGAAATACAGGTTAACAACACTTTCAAAGGTCTTGTTTGTGACTTTAAGACATCATGTGTAGACGACGGGGTTCATTCAGTGTCAAAAACGCTGGAGACAATTAGTTTGTCTTTTAACGCCGCGCTCATCATCTTTTCAGCCACAATAGGGCGGTCTGTAAATAATCTAGTCTAGACCAGACAAGCCAGTAGCTACCATCATGAGCATCGATCTACACACATGAAATACTATGACATGCATCAGCGTGCCTGACAACCAGATCCCGTCAGTCACTTCTAACGGCAAGCATGAGTTGCTGAAGTTCAAGTCTAACCCGGATCTTCACAGATGACCCGGGAAGGAACAAACGCCAACCTCATTGCAGTTTGGGGAGTTGTCAGGGGAGGGCACGGAAGATACTGTTCCCTGAACTCTGGCTATGGTTAAGCGTCACCCCAAAGACCCGGGTTCGATTTCCCGCACGGGGATAATGTGTGAAGCCCATTTCTGGTGTCCCTAGCCGTGGTATTGGGAGAGATTTGCGGTGTAAGCCTTATCCACTTACTCCTATGGAGAGTGACGTATGTCTTCAAGGTCAGTTTACGCTTGAAAACATTGCGCCATTTGCCTAAGAGCAAGTTGTTTCTAAAAGCATTAGTCCGCCTAATCTGCAGTTAAGCCTACAGCCTCTGATGACGTTGTCGTATTGGTCAGCCTTAATCTGTCAGTTCTGCAGCTGTTGATAGACCGGACTGACCCATATAATACATGCCATGGGCAAGGACAAATATCGTGCTGCTTATATGTTCGTAAACATGACACATTCTCTTTAATTACTGAGATCGAGGCATAGCGACATAGAAATCTTATGACAGGTGAATGGCTGTCTTCATTTACAGCAAGAACGGATCTTGTTTATTTCCTCGCAGTCCATCGTCGTTTAAAACACTTTTTCTGATTTTAATCTTCATTCATAAAACCAAATAGGATGAAATATTTCAGTCTATGTTATATTTTTGTATTCTTTTTAGATATAGAATTATTTCACAATCGAAAATAGCTCGTCATAGCAAACATGTGTTGGTTCTATATATGTGCTGACCTGACCTGGCCTGTTAACTGAGTAGTGCATAGTATTGAATAACACGATTAATTCAGCCACGATAGGACTGTAAGCCTTGTGCAGTACTTCAGGGCATGCTGCATGTATATGTTCCGTCCTCTGTCTTCTGTCCCGTATCGTTTACGTGAATGTTAAATGTCCTGGCAGTATTAAGGGGAATAACACTGAATATGATGTCGATAGTCGAATGGATTGTTAATTTCATCATGTGCCGTTCAATATTTGTTTGTTTGTTTAACGCCGCACTCACCAATATGCCAGCTACATGGCGACGGTTTGTAAATAATCGAGTCTGGACCAGACAATCCAGTGATCAACAGCATGAACATCGATCTACGCAATTGGGATATGATGACATGTGTCAACCAAGTTAGCGAACATGACCAAGTCAAAACATTGATTACACAACAGTCTCGTTTGCTTTTGACTGGGTTCCGTCCTATTGCGCAACTTAGTACAATAACCAGTCCAGAATTTTGAGACCAATTCATTTAACTGGATATATAAATATTAATCAGTATTATTTGATACATCCAAGCACGTGTATATTGCAACACTACGCTCCTTATAATCCGTGCAGACATGTCGTGCAGCGTGCTCTGTCGTACAGCGAGCACTGACAAACAGAAGCCTGGAAATCGTGGAATCTCAAAAGGAGACTCTGCCGCTAGAAAGGTTTGGCGGTCTGGTACGAACCTGATAATATATCAATCACATTGTGCGTTACGGAACTACACCGAACAAGCGCAAAAAAACACATAACAGGTGTAACCAGTGAGCCAGATGCATTGTGAATTATTTTACGACCTCATCAAACTGGGGCAGCCTGTGAGGTCTTAGTTAAGGTAATGTTGCCTAAACCTCGCCATAAAATATAGAAATACGATGTTACTAAAGTTTAAAATTAAAATTCATTTGTAAATACCATTTTCTTATGAAACAAGGAATTGCAATTCAATGTAACCATAGTTGTTTGTGCCGTCTATTTTCACTTTCACACGAGAAATATCGGATCGGCTTAAAAGTAGGTCATTGTCTGAATAGGTTAATGAGACTCATGTTTTATTTTGACCCGATCCCGTCAGTCGCCTCTTTCGACAAACAAAGGTTACTGAAGATCAATTCTAACCCGGATCTTCACGGGTCACATTAAGAAGTTGACAAAAGGAAACACGGAAGCGCTTCTCTTAACAACTGATGTGGATGTCCTTTCTTCTTAAAATAAGTATTACTAGCACTCTTGGATTAAATTTAATATCCGGAGGCAGACTGAATTAGAAGAATTATAGGAAATTAATTTTTAAAAAAACGTATTTAGTTATTTTACTTGCAAACTCTTTCCTTCTTTTTTTTTGTTAATACTGTACAATTTCATTGCTTTTGTTCAAAAAATGCGTTTACAGTTTAATTCTATTGTGTGTGAATTTAAGACAATATCTACTCCATCTGTGTGTTTGAACAGAAAAACGTAACAGTGGACATGTACATAGTGATTACTGGACGACTGTCTGTCAATAGTAAACGAGGGGCGGTGTAGCCCAGTGGTTAAAACATTCACTCGTCACGCCGACTACCCAGGTTCGATTCCCACATGGGTACAATGCGTGAAGCCAATTTCTGGTGTCCCCGCCGTGATATTGCTGGAACATTGCTAAAAGCGGCGTAAAACTATACTCATTCACTCACGTAAGACCATACTCAACCGCTCACACGTACATCGTAAACGATAAAGGGAATTAGTAGAGACAAATAGGTACAGTCGTGATATATTCTAAGTATGTTTTATTGCATAAATACCCGTTTAAAATGTACCTGTCGCAAACAAAAACAAAAAGACAGGTAGGGATAAAGTTGCTTGACACGGAAAACAGGTCTGCGTTCGACTGAAGCACGAGTAACTTATCAATGAATTGTCATCAGGAAAGTAGTCCGTCATCATCTGACCTTAGATCATCACCATTCATTGACCTGGATTTCGATCGTACACATATGGTATACCATATATCTCACATGGGCATCTCACCCACGGGTGTGCAAGTAAAGTTTAATCTGCGTAATATACATCCTTGATTATGAATATAATTCTCTGCACTAAATCGGACTAAGTATTCGGCGTTAAGTCTAAATCTGTAAGATGACTGACAAACAATTGGGCAATGCAAACAATACAAACAGTGTCTAATAATCACTATTGTAATCTACATGTACTTCATGATTTGTTCTAGTTGTACTGTTGTACCGACAAGTGCAAGTTATTTCTGGTCTCAGTTGTAAGTTTAAAAAACAACGTGAGTGGCATCAATTAAACTAATGCTAGGACAGGAACTATAGTGTTTTGAATGACTGTTGTGATTCAGCATTGCTCAGAACAAATCGTGAAGACACTAACAACCCAAATAACTTGATCTTGAAACCTGTTTACGATAATTTGTTTCACGTCCATACAGTGTGCCCTTTGTATGTGTTCGTGTGTGTGTCTGTCAGTTATTCTCTGCATTTGTATCTTTCTGTGTACATTTGTGTTTTGTATATGTATCTATGACATGTATTACATCTATAAAACCAAAAATAGTGTTAGTAAAGATAGGAAACTAAACCAAGCTCTTAATGTAGTTGAAAACGCATCACGGTAACATAGCCTTCAAATGCAACATGGGTTTTCCCACAATGGACAACAGTTGTTGCTAAACAAGATCCACGTCATTGTCGGGACTGTACATGACGGCGCCCTGTGAATAATTCAATCTGCACTCAACCGATATGTGTCATGACTGTCTGAACAAATATTACGCTTCTCTTAAAGTAGCTGTGTTGCTGGTTGCAATACAATGTATAATTATGGTGTAAGATTTACGGGCTGTACTATTAGATATGCTATTATCACGTAGTAATATTACTTAATATTATAGCAATATTACATGGATGAAATACATACATCTTGTAATAGCATTAAGCCACATTTAGTGGCATTATCAACGAAACAGTAGCATTCCTAATATACATTCCTTAAAGAATTCATAATAAACATGTAAAATATTATTGACTGGCTTGTGATGAATAATGTTAATTAATCCTATCGTTTCATTCAGTAATATTACTAAATCAATAGTATTTATAATTATTTGTGTTTTATTGAGAATAATTACGTATATGAAAATATACGTATATACCTACATGTCATTCACATTTCAGCACAGCAAAACACAAGTCTATGTGACTCAGACTAAGCCTGTCTCTGAATAGTTCAGTGTCACTTGAATGCGACACAGGTCATATCAACACGTCAGCTCTATAAATACAAAATCACTGCAATACACAGAGGTTATCTGTCAACAGACGAGGTCTGCTATGGACGTCACCGATGCTGTAGGTGTTTCTACAAGCTTTACAGGAAGCCCAAGTTCGCTTCAAGCTGGCGTGACCTTCGATGAAATCAAGGAATCTAAACAACCAGGCGAGGCTACAAATGAGAGAGAGAACATCCAGAAACGACTGGCCACATATCACCACTGGACTGGACTAGCCTTCCCAATACAGCTGGCAGTAGCTGGGTTCGTATTCACAGGGGAAATCGACCAGGTTGTGTGTACCTTCTGTGGATTAAAACTGTACAACTGGACACGGAAGGAAAAACCTCTTGAGGTCCACAGAAAATATTCTCCTGGTTGTACGTTCTTGAAAAAGTGGTTTCCGTTACCCAGGGAAGTTACGGGATCGTCAACACTTACAAGAGGACCATCAGGATACGATCCAACAAAGGCTGGACACAAGGAGTATGTTTCCATTGCCAAGAGAGTGTCTTCTTTCGTTGGATGGCCACTTAAAGGGGAGCTCCATTCTTCACAAAACATGTCGATGGCTGGGTTTTTCTACATTGGATCTGCGGACAGAGTGAGATGTTTCTACTGTTCCTTTTCACTCAGAGATTGGGACGTGGATGATGATCCTTTTTCTGCCCATAAACAACACTCTGCTCATTGTGACTACATTAACCATCTTGCCAGGAATGCAGTCACGACAAGGATAAGGACATTACGATCTTCTGAACATTCGTCCCAAGCTTCCCCTAATGCAGTTCCACCAGGGGATGCTGGTGGTATGGACTCAGTGGAACCAACATTGACGACTACGGAAGGAAGAAGAGGATGTGAACATTCACCCTCTGTTCAAGCTTTGTTGGATTTTGGATATACGCTTGGTGTTGTTCAAAAAGCAATTAAGAGGCACAAAGAGAAATATGGATATGATTATAAGAATTCCACAGATTTATTTCTCACCATTGAAGAAATTGATAATCTAAAGGGTTAAAACTGAGGCAGACCGACCGCAGCCGTCTAAAACCCGGTATTTTACACAAGCCACAAGTACTGAATGATGGTAAACGGGTTAAACTGTTGTAGCTACCCAGTATTTGCATAAGCTTTTACGGATCAGTTCACTGTATCAGTGTAAAAAATCTGCAACATCTTTCTCTTACACGTAGCTCTGCCTTATAATCATTATATCAGCATATGTGAAACTACTCGATCAGCAAATATCATGTTTAATCCTAATATAATATTAGCAAATGAATGTGTCCAAACACAAAGGTTACTGAAGATCAATTCTAACCCGGATCTTCACGGGTCACATTAAGAAGTTGACAAAAGGAAACACGGAAGCGCTTCTCTTAACAACTGATGTGGATGTCCTTTCTTCTTAAAATAAGTATTACTAGCACTCTTGGATTAAATTTAATATCCGGAGGCAGACTGAATTAGAAGAATTATAGGAAATTATTTTTAAAAAAAACGTATTTAGTTATTTTACTTGCAAACTCTTTCCTTCTTTTTTTTTGTTAATACTGTACAATTTCATTGCTTTTGTTCAAGAAATGCGTTTACAGTTTAATTCTATTGTGTGTGAATTTAAGACAATATCTACTCCATCTGTGTGTTTGAACAGAAAAACGTAACAGTGGACATGTACATAGTGATTACTGGACGACTGTCTGTCAATAGTAAACGAGGGGCGGTGTAGCCCAGTGGTTAAAGCATTCACTCGTCACGCCGACTACCCAGGTTCGATTCCCCACATGGGTACAATGCGTGAAGCCAATTTCTGGTGTCCCCCCGCCGTGATATTGCTGGAACATTGCTAAAAGCGGCGTAAAACTATACTCATTCACTCACGTAAGACCATACTCAACCGCTCACACGTACATCGTAAACGATAAAGGGAATTAGTAGAGACAAATAGGTACAGTCGTGATATATTCTAAGTATGTTTTATTGCATTAATACCCGTTTAAAATGTACCTGTCGCAAACAAAAACAAAAAGACAGGTAGGGATAAAGTTGCTTGACACGGAAAACAGGTCTGCGTTCGACTGAAGCACGAGTAACTTATCAATGAATTGTCATCAGGAAAGTAGTCCATCATCATCTGACCTTAGATCATCACCATTCATTGACCTGGATTTCGATCGTACACATATGGTATACCATATATCTCACATGGGCATCTCACCCACGGGTGTGCAAGTAAAGTTTAATCTGCGTAATATACATCCTTGATTATGAATATAATTCTCTGCACTAAATCGGACTAAGTATTCGGCGTTAAGTTTAAATCTGTAAGATGACTGACAAACAATTGGGCAATGCAAACAATACAAACAGTGTCTAATAATCACTATTGTAATCTACATGTACTTCATGATTTGTTCTAGTTGTACTGTTGTACCGACAAGTGCAAGTTATTTCTGGTCTCAGTTGTAAGATTAAAAAACAACGTGAGTGGCATCAATTAAACTAATGCTAGGACAGGAACTATAGTGTTGTGAATGACTGTTGTGATTCAGCATTGCTCAGAACAAATCGTGAAGACACTAACAACCCAAATAACTTGATCTTGAAACCTGTTTACGATAATTTGTTTCACGTCCATACAGTGTGCCCTTTGTATGTGTTCGTGTGTGTGTCTGTCAGTTATTCTCTGCATTTGTATCTTTCTGTGTACATTTGTGTTTTGTATATGTATCTATGACATGTATTACATCTATAAAACCAAAAATAGTGTTATTAAATATAGGAAACTAAAACAAGCTCTTAATGTAGTTGAAAACGCATCACGGTAACATAGCCTTCAAACACAACATGGGTTTTCCCACAATGGACAACAGTTGTTGCTAAACAAGATCCACGTCATTGTCGGGACTATACATGACAGCGCCCTGTGAATAATTCAATCTGCACTCAACCGATATGTGTCATGACTGTCTGAAAAAATATTACGCTTCTCTTAAAGTAGCTGTGTTGCTGGTTGCAATACAATGTATAATTATGGTGTAAGATTTACGGGCTGTACTATTAGATATGCTATTATCACGTAGTAATATTACTTAATATTATAGCAATATTACATGGATAAAATACATACATCTTGTAATAGCATTAAGCCACATTTAGTGGCATTATCAACGAAACAGTAGCATTCCTAATATACATTCCTTAAAGAATTCATAATAAACATGTAAAATATTATTGACTGGCTTGTGATGAATAATGTTATTTAATCCTATCGTTTCATTCAGTAATATTACTAAATCAATAGTATTTATAATTATTTGTGTTTTAATGAGAATAATTACGTATATGAAAATATACGTATATACCTACATGTCATTCACATTTCAGCACAGCAAAACACAAGTCTATGTGACTCAGACTAAGCCTGTCTCTGAATAGTTCAGTGTCACTTGAATGCGACACAGGTCATATCAACACGTCAGCTCTATAAATACTAAATCACTGCAATACACAGAGGTTATCTGTCAACAGACGAGGTCTGCTATGGACGTCACCGATGCTGTAGGTGTTTCTACAAGCTTTACAGGAAGCCCAAGTTCGCTTCAAGCTGGCGTGACCTTCGATGAAATCAAGGAATCTAAACAACCAGGCGAGGCTACAAATGAGAGAGAACATCCAGAAACGACTGGCCACATATCACCACTGGACTGGACTAGCCTTCCCAATACAGCTGGCAGTAGCTGGGTTCGTATTCACAGGGGAAATCGACCAGGTTGTGTGTACCTTCTGTGGATTAAAACTGTACAACTGGACACGGAAGGAAAAACCTCTTGAGGTCCACAGAAAATATTCTCCTGGTTGTACGTTCTTGAAAAAGTGGTTTCCGTTACCCAGGGAAGTTACGGGATCGTCAACACTTACAAGAGGACCATCAGGATACGATCCAACAAAGGCTGGACACAAGGAGTATGTTTCCATTGCCAAGAGAGTGTCTTCTTTCGTTGGATGGCCACTTAAAGGGAGCTCCATTCTTCACAAAACATGTCGATGGCTGGGTTTTTCTACATTGGATCTGCGGACAGAGTGAGATGTTTCTACTGTTCCTTTTCACTCAGAGATTGGGACGTGGATGATGATCCTTTTTCTGCCCATAAACAACACTCTGCTCATTGTGACTACATTAACCATCTTGCCAGGAATGCAGTCAAGACAAGGATAAGGACATTACGATCTTCTGAACATTCGTCCCAAGCTTCCCCTAATGCAGTTCCACCAGGGGATGCTGGTGGTATGGACTCAGTGGAACCAACATTGACGACTACGGAAGGAAGAAGAGGATGTGAACATTCACCCTCTGTTCAAGCTTTGTTGGATTTTGGATATACGCTTGGTGTTGTTCAAAAAGCAATTAAGAGGCACAAAGAGAAATATGGATATGATTATAAGAATTCCACAAATTTATTTCTCACCATTGAAGAAATTGATAATCTAAAGGGTTAAAACTGAGGCAGACCGACCACAGCCGTCTAAAACCCGGTATTTTACACAAGCCACAAGTACTGAATGATGGTAAACGGGTTAAACTATTGTAGCTACCCAGTATTTGCATAAGCTTTTACGGATCAGTTCACTGTATCAGTGTAAAAAATCTGCAACATCTTTCTCTTACACGTAGCTCTGCCTTATAATCATTATATCAGCATATGTGAAACTACTCGATCAGCAAATATCATGTTTAATCCTAATATAATATTAGCAAATGAATGTGTCCAAACACAAAGGTTACTGAAGATCAATTCTAACCCGGATCTTCACGGGTCACATTAAGAAGTTGACAAAAGGAAACACGGAAGCGCTTCTCTTAACAACTGATGTGGATGTCCTTTCTTCTTAAAATAAGTATTACTAGCACTCTTGGATTAAATTTAATATCCGGAGGCAGACTGAATTAGAAGAATTATAGGAAATTATTTTTAAAAAAAACGTATTTAGTTATTTTACTTGCAAACTCTTTCCTTCTTTTTTTTTGTTAATACTGTACAATTTCATTGCTTTTGTTCAAGAAATGCGTTTACAGTTTAATTCTATTGTGTGTGAATTTAAGACAATATCTACTCCATCTGTGTGTTTGAACAGAAAAACGTAACAGTGGACATGTACATAGTGATTACTGGACGACTGTCTGTCAATAGTAAACGAGGGGCGGTGTAGCCCAGTGGTTAAAGCATTCACTCGTCACGCCGACTACCCAGGTTCGATTCCCCACATGGGTACAATGCGTGAAGCCAATTTCTGGTGTCCCCCGCCGTGATATTGCTGGAACATTGCTAAAAGCGGCGTAAAACTATACTCATTCACTCACGTAAGACCATACTCAACCGCTCACACGTACATCGTAAACGATAAAGGGAATTAGTAGAGACAAATAGGTACAGTCGTGATATATTCTAAGTATGTTTTATTGCATTAATACCCGTTTAAAATGTACCTGTCGCAAACAAAAACAAAAAGACAGGTAGGGATAAAGTTGCTTGACACGGAAAACAGGTCTGCGTTCGACTGAAGCACGAGTAACTTATCAATGAATTGTCATCAGGAAAGTAGTCCATCATCATCTGACCTTAGATCATCACCATTCATTGACCTGGATTTCGATCGTACACATATGGTATACCATATATCTCACATGGGCATCTCACCCACGGGTGTGCAAGTAAAGTTTAATCTGCGTAATATACATCCTTGATTATGAATATAATTCTCTGCACTAAATCGGACTAAGTATTCGGCGTTAAGTTTAAATCTGTAAGATGACTGACAAACAATTGGGCAATGCAAACAATACAAACAGTGTCTAATAATCACTATTGTAATCTACATGTACTTCATGATTTGTTCTAGTTGTACTGTTGTACCGACAAGTGCAAGTTATTTCTGGTCTCAGTTGTAAGATTAAAAAACAACGTGAGTGGCATCAATTAAACTAATGCTAGGACAGGAACTATAGTGTTGTGAATGACTGTTGTGATTCAGCATTGCTCAGAACAAATCGTGAAGACACTAACAACCCAAATAACTTGATCTTGAAACCTGTTTACGATAATTTGTTTCACGTCCATACAGTGTGCCCTTTGTATGTGTTCGTGTGTGTGTCTGTCAGTTATTCTCTGCATTTGTATCTTTCTGTGTACATTTGTGTTTTGTATATGTATCTATGACATGTATTACATCTATAAAACCAAAAATAGTGTTATTAAATATAGGAAACTAAAACAAGCTCTTAATGTAGTTGAAAACGCATCACGGTAACATAGCCTTCAAACACAACATGGGTTTTCCCACAATGGACAACAGTTGTTGCTAAACAAGATCCACGTCATTGTCGGGACTATACATGACAGCGCCCTGTGAATAATTCAATCTGCACTCAACCGATATGTGTCATGACTGTCTGAAAAAATATTACGCTTCTCTTAAAGTAGCTGTGTTGCTGGTTGCAATACAATGTATAATTATGGTGTAAGATTTACGGGCTGTACTATTAGATATGCTATTATCACGTAGTAATATTACTTAATATTATAGCAATATTACATGGATAAAATACATACATCTTGTAATAGCATTAAGCCACATTTAGTGGCATTATCAACGAAACAGTAGCATTCCTAATATACATTCCTTAAAGAATTCATAATAAACATGTAAAATATTATTGACTGGCTTGTGATGAATAATGTTATTTAATCCTATCGTTTCATTCAGTAATATTACTAAATCAATAGTATTTATAATTATTTGTGTTTTATTGAGAATAATTACGTATATGAAAATATACGTATATACCTACATGTCATTCACATTTCAGCACAGCAAAACACAAGTCTATGTGACTCAGACTAAGCCTGTCTCTGAATAGTTCAGTGTCACTTGAATGCGACACAGGTCATATCAACACGTCAGCTCTATAAATACTAAATCACTGCAATACACAGAGGTTATCTGTCAACAGACGAGGTCTGCTATGGACGTCACCGATGCTGTAGGTGTTTCTACAAGCTTTACAGGAAGCCCAAGTTCGCTTCAAGCTGGCGTGACCTTCGATGAAATCAAGGAATCTAAACAACCAGGCGAGGCTACAAATGAGAGAGAGAACATCCAGAAACGACTGGCCACATATCACCACTGGACTGGACTAGCCTTCCCAATACAGCTGGCAGTAGCTGGGTTCGTATTCACAGGGGAAATCGACCAGGTTGTGTGTACCTTCTGTGGATTAAAACTGTACAACTGGACACGGAAGGAAAAACCTCTTGAGGTCCACAGAAAATATTCTCCTGGTTGTACGTTCTTGAAAAAGTGGTTTCCGTTACCCAGGGAAGTTACGGGATCGTCAACACTTACAAGAGGACCATCAGGATACGATCCAACAAAGGCTGGACACAAGGAGTATGTTTCCATTGCCAAGAGAGTGTCTTCTTTCGTTGGATGGCCACTTAAAGGGGAGCTCCATTCTTCACAAAACATGTCGATGGCTGGGTTTTTCTACATTGGATCTGCGGACAGAGTGAGATGTTTCTACTGTTCCTTTTCACTCAGAGATTGGGACGTGGATGATGATCCTTTTTCTGCCCATAAACAACACTCTGCTCATTGTGACTACATTAACCATCTTGCCAGGAATGCAGTCACGACAAGGATAAGGACATTACGATCTTCTGAACATTCGTCCCAAGCTTCCCCTAATGCAGTTCCACCAGGGATGCTGGTGGTATGGACTCAGTGGAACCAACATTGACGACTACGGAAGGAAGAAGAGGATGTGAACATTCACCCTCTGTTCAAGCTTTGTTGGATTTTGGATATACGCTTGGTGTTGTTCAAAAAGCAATTAAGAGGCACAAAGAGAAATATGGATATGATTATAAGAATTCCACAGATTTATTTCTCACCATTGAAGAAATTGATAATCTAAAGGGTTAAAACTGAGGCAGACCGACCACAGCCGTCTAAAACCCGGTATTTTACACAAGCCACAAGTACTGAATGATGGTAAACGGGTTAAACTATTGTAGCTACCCAGTATTTGCATAAGCTTTTACGGATCAGTTCACTGTATCAGTGTAAAAAAATCTGCAACATCTTTCTCTTACACGTAGCTCTGCCTTATAATCATTATATCAGCATATGTGAAACTACTCGATCAGCAAATATCATGTTTAATCCTAATATAATATTAGCAAATGAATGTGTCCAAACACAGTTTTGATTTATGCTTTAGCACACCTTCGTATCACATTCCCTTTAAGCGTCATGCCCGTATATATGTTAGTAGCGGTAAGAAAACATCTTTCTATCAAGAATGAACCTGTTTTTATAGCTATAAGTCGTGTGGTTATGTGTGACCTGGCCCATTGTATGTACAATAAATTATTCCTGAGGTTCTGGATACTGACTCATGCCATCTTGAGCTATGGGTTGTTTGTCGAGATCTCTATATGTTCAGGCCGTCGTGAGAAAGCTGTTGTATTGATGAATGCGGCCTACAACACCATTCACTAAAACACTTAGGGACCAACACTCCATAGTCATAAGACACGTCTTTTTTCAGGGTCCTCTGGCTTTTCTTCTTCACTTAACAAATCGTCATTCATTACTTGATGCTTAGTTCTTTTATTAAAAGACACTATATGTATGGATCCGGATAGAATTGGTCTTCATTAATCCATGCTTGTCGTAAGAGGCGGCTAACGGAATCGGGTGGTCAGGCTCGCTGACTTGGTTCACACTTGTCATCGTATCAAAGTTGCGTAGATCGATGCTCATGACGTTGATTACTGGATTGTCTGGTCCAGATTCGATTATTTTCAGATCGCCGTCATATCGCTGGAGTATTCCTGGGTGCAGCGTTAAACAACAAACAAACAAATATCAAACGACACATTATCAAATAAACAATCCATTCCACAATCGACATCATATTCAATGTTTTACCCCTAATATTACCCGGACATTTAACATTCACGCAATAGATACGGGACGGAAGACCCAGGCAGGACGGAACAAGGCTTACAGTCATATCGTTGTGAACTGATCGCGTTATTCAATAATGTGCACTTGGCAGTTAACAGGTCAGGTCAGTACATTGTACTTAAATAGAACCAACTCATGTTTGCTATGACAAGCAAATTTACAACATAAGATCATGAGACATCGTAAGAACCTTGCCACTTATAGTTTTGGTTCATAAAACCAAATAGCCATCTACCTTATGTTTTTATGTTCTTTTACAGATAGAAAATAATTTCACAATCAAATATATAGTTAGTCGTAATATAAATTCTTAATTACCTAAATGACATAAGGTATAGGGATGTGTCAACTGCACATAAAACGAATTGCCGTTTCACGGGATTTCACTTTTCTCCTCGTATCTCGTATTGATTTATTATAATTTACTGATTGAAATACATAAATGCAAGAAAGAGGGTTCGGGTGATCCTGGCATGTCAGGCTGGTAAGGCTCATCCCCAACCCAAGACCCTTGCTCCCTCTGTAGCTACACGCAGACCAGACAATGAATGGAACCAGGAAGAGCTCCCTAAGAACGGTTCAGAGAATGTGAATTTTCCCCAGCACTACATCTTCTACATTAACAGGAATTTTAGATTGACTGTGTTCTTGGCATCAAACAAACCCGGGTACGCTCCTTCAATGTCAGTCAAGAGAGTAGGTGGCATCAAACCTACGGCACCAAGAACGATGGAGAGTTGGACAACTTCGTACTTTGGATGCAAGGTCCTCATGTTTACCGTGTTGTTCCCTTATCTTGTCTATTAGTGTCAAAGGGGAAAGTTTTCAATGATAAAAATATTTTAGTTTATTCACCCCAAAAAAAACACATGGTGAGGTTTGTTCAGCTGGATCGGTCTGATGCTCTATACGGCCCTATTCAAGAGCATATTACAGTTATCTATTTTGCATATTCTCTGTCCTATCATGGACTGATTTCTGAGTCAAAATCACAAGCATTGCGAAGTAAGAAATAGAAAGTTCGAGATGCTGTGTTTGTACCGACCCTGGGCATCCACTGACATTATCTACACTTCCTATGTATAGTCACATGTTGACAGTTATGAGTGGGAAATGACTGATACTGAGCATCAAAAAGAAACCCTTCTGTTTCACCTTTAAGGCCTGCTGACTTTTTTCGAGAAGATGATTCCACAGGGGTGCTCTTCTCAAAACAGGGCATATAGACGTGATGCAGAGCAGCTCCATAAACAACATCAACTGAGCTTGTGTTGATTGGATTTGTTGACACTTGTTTATTTTTTCAGCAAAACTGAACCATCAGCAAACTCAACAGTAAACCTGAGTGATAATGTCCAACATCTTTGCCTCTTTTGAGAATAGTGTGGAATACCCTATTTTCATCCTGATCAGACAAATAAGTATGCACACACGCCCAATCACAATTAAAAAATATACGCTATTGCGGGAAGACCGAGGATGGCAGGATCTATATATTGCCTGATACATTTCTTCGTGTAAGGATGTCAATACCCTGAATTTCTTGCCTTGTCCTGTAAGTATTTGCTACTTTGACTTTTATTGCGAGCGTTCAGCTCTGGAACGCAGTCTACATTTGCATTCTGATCGAATTTATATCCTTTATATGAGCAATCTTGGAGTTTGTGTCTTACCTGCATTCCTGATTTTAAGCACGTATAAACCTAACCTTCCATGATATAGCGTCAAGTACAGTGTCGTCGTAGTTAACTACAGTACTTCCAATGGCTTTTAAATGCATGTTCTTTGCATGTTTGACTGTTACAGACTAAACTGTTAACTACCCGTGAAGATCCAGGATGGAATTGGTCTTCGGCAACCCATGTTTGTCGTAAAAACAGGATCGTGTGATCAGGCTTGCAAGCGTGGTTGGTAGCTGAACTGTCTTGTCCAGACTCGATTATTTACAGACAGCTGCCATATAGCTGGAATACTGCTGAGTGCGACGTTAAACAACAAAGAAACAGATACTAAACGACACATAATCAAATTAACAATCCATTAAGTTTATCGACATCATATTCAGTAATATGCCTCCTAATATTGCCCGGACATCTTAATATTCATGTACGAACAAACTTCAAATTTTGAAATTTGAAATCAAGTAAGGTGCACATATGTAATGTCGGTAAGCCACTTCGATACCGAAACTTCCCGAACGATCAAATCTCTCCTGTTTGTTGACCAGGAACGGTAACTAAAATCTATTTGCTGCCGTTAACAATGACAACAAATATACACACAAAAATGTATCGTAACATCGCATATTTTTCATCGTATCAACAGGTTGCACGTGATGTTCGCCTTTGATCGCAGCACGTGTATATCTAAAAGTACGGAGCACCCAAAGGGTAAAAATAATCATACAAACCTACAGAATTATGATATGAATATATATGGCTATATGGGGATTAGAAATCACAGGTGTAGCGATACTTTGTTCCATGTGTATACCTACTCCACACCAAGCAGTCGCTTGTGCAGATAGCCACAAATGTCAATATGTACAGTTGTTAAAATAGGATAGGTATGTGTTAGTTAAAGTCCCCTATAGATATTACAAATACGAAGTTGGTTCGGCTCTGGGTTATTTCAGCAACTTAGTACAGCATTATACGACGCCTCACACGACTGTGTTTCCCACATGAAAAAATCGTGACAAACAACACATTAACACATTAACACATTAACCTCCAGGCTATCCCGTAAGCATTACAGAAATGACAATTTCTTAAAAGCTTACATACACGAATCTTGTACACTTGAGTCAGGCATACACTAGTTTGGATTGCAAATATTTGAATATAATAACATTGATGTAATCACAAAAGACAGGTTAATTGAACATGCACATTTATTACTCACCTGTTGAAGATATCACTGTTTAAATCTACAAGGTTATTACACATTGTGTAATAATATCGCGTGCTGCCGGAACTATTTGCACTCTGTCACATGACCGAGTATGCGCGTGAACAAGTTGTGCGGGCGTAATGCACTCGTTGGATACTTTGGACGGAAGTTTCAAGTGTTCTAAGCTCGGTTGCGAGTAATAGCATAAAAAAAATAATTGGTTGGTTGAAGTCATTTGGTCCCTTTTTCACTACCCTTGTTTATTTAAAAAAATCAAATCAAATACGCTAATGATGACAATCATACATGTATTCATACGCGTTACCTCTGTTTATAACGGCGTAATGTACTCGTTTTGTAAGTTGAATTCTGAGATATTATATTGCTAATTTTGGGGTAAGTAATAAAATACTAAACGATGTCCCATGTAATACCATATTTATGAAACTCCTGAATGGTGTTGCACGGAACATCGTTTAGTATTTTCTATATGTGCAACAAAAATGTACCACCATGAAAATTAGTGCATGTTAACATGGCTTGTATTGCAATGCACAGAATAACAAAGTTCATGAAAATTCCTGCAATGACTACTAAACAAGATTTGGATATATACACTGACGTACAAGTAATATCTAAATGTACATAGTTCATTATTACTAATGCATTATGTAACGCATAGCTTGATGTCTAGTTAAAAGTGGCACATTTGTTGACTGTCGATAGACTTTATGTTTGGTCGAGTTCACAGCCATTCGCTGGAGAAACTTAAGTCACAACTGCGCGTGCAATGTATGATATCCACTAATTAGCTCGGCTGTGTAAGACATCCTTTAGTTAGAGAAAGCATGGATAGATCATGGTGGACTCGTG